GGGACTTCCTATGATACACACAGTCCCTGAGTCTGCTTCTGCCAAAGGTTTAGTGCTATAGGGAGTTTTATTTCTGTCCAAAGTCACACAGGATGCTTTGGTGCAATCTGCAGGTTGTTCATTTAGCTTGCTTTCTCAGCTGTATAAAATTAGACCAATTTAGAATTCAATATCTTTTATTTTGTTATTTGATTGTGAAAACTTGGAGATTATATTAGTTAATATTTGGCACTATCTATAGATAAAGCTGCATTTAATTCAAAATCAGAATTATGTAAGAGAAATGTGGACATTTTCCTTTCAAGAAAAACAACAGAACCAGTTTCGGGAAATGGCCAACTTGCTTTGAAGGGACATGGTCTTGGAATTAAAGGGAAAGTCTGTCTCTTTGACCTAAAGCTGCAGGCAAACATGTCACCACGGATCTCAGCGTACCAAAAAACACAACTGCTGGAGCTCTGCAAAACACTTTGCTTTTGGAATTTCAATATATTGAGTCATTCCAGTGTTAGTACACTGACCGTTTTAAGACAATCATGATTTTTAATTAATTGAAATCAATGGCACTAGATAATGCAAAACCTGGAGCATATATACTGAAAATAAAATGTAAATAAAATCATGACACTATTACGAAAAACACTCAAATTAAACAGAAACTTGGGCACATGTCACGACTGAATCTAGATTTAGAGAACATGCTTTTCTCCAACTGTATCTCTTCATATATAATTCATAAGGCCTATGTAGACAAAGCTGAATGATCGATTTCGTAAAAGAGTGGTCGTGATGAGTGGAAAGCACTCAGTTGTGTCATGAACTTTGCTCCGGAACCGGCAAAAGTGATAATGATCTGTATCTAACCATTCTGATCAAGACTATATTTCTTTTCCAAAGTTCAAAATCAAGACGAATCGGGACAAACTGAAATAATCCGATTCGTTTAGTGTGTGCACAAAGGCGTTAAATCCACAGCAACTGTTTGCTGGAATCTGATGTTTGTGTGTTTTTGCAGCTATTGGGATTTGAAAGCAGCCACTGGAGGCAAAATGGTTGACAGTCGGCCGAGTGAGCCAAGCCCTAAAGAGCTGCAATGACCTCATTCTGTGTGTGTGTGCTGCTCCCTGGGTTCCGCTCATTGACTGTGAGAGCAGACGCTCTGCGGCTCAGAATGAGCGCCCCCTGCTGGGGGCAGACTAACACACCTTGTTTCTTGCAGGGGTTTTAACTTCTTACAGTCAAAGCTATCTGTCACACCCTACAACAGATGACAGAGGACATACAGAGTAGTGCATAAATACTTTTTTTTTTTTTAAATCACAATTCTGCACTGACGTTTTTTTTCTGTACAGAAAAAAAAGTGTTGTTTATCAGCAGAACTCTGCAATATCTGTAACGTTTTATTTCTTTTTACTTCTCTTTCTGAATGCCAGTATTACAGCACAAAGCCACCTGATACATACAGTTATCAGTATGACTCCGGCCAGTGGGAAAATGTGTATTGTCTAGATTTTGATAAAAACCTAAGTTCTACCGGAGCCTTTTCTAAGTAGATTTAAAGCATTGTTCACCACAGCCAACTGCATTTTATTAAGGAAAAATATTCTTTCAAAAACAAAACTAAGAATAGAAATCTAATCAAGAATGGTAATTTAATTTGGGAAACATATCAGTTTCATGTGTAAACACGCACACAGCTTTCCACTTGCAAGGAGATACAAGATTCTGTGTATTAATACCATCTTAAAAAAGGCTCATTTTCATCATGAGACTGTTTAAAGGTGGTATTAATACCATGAGCTTACCATAATAACCCTTGGCAAAGCAAATTTGTTCAGCATAACACGGTATTCAGATTACAATTCTACGCCATAATTATTTTATTCTTAAATTAAATTAACTTCAAACTCATTAACAATAAAAGTTTCAATAAGAGTTTATTCTTTCAGTTCAGTGATCTATAAAGCATTGCTTGTCACTTCAACACATTCTCAAACTGTAACTCTGGGCCTGTTGAAAAGGTAGATTTTTTTTGGTCTTTTTTTTGGAGGAAATTGGACAAAAAGTCCCAAGGAAAATTCAAATTGGAAATAAAGGGATGTTACAATCTATTCTCAAGTTCAAAACTAAGGCAACTACTGGCAGTAGAGTACAAGAAGTTTTACGAAAATAAAATATATTCCTTTTTATATAAACTATAATTTGTTAATTGAGCTGAGCATATATAATCTATCCTCTGTAGAAAACTAAAGACATCAATGTATCATCTGAAAGATTAGCTTCATAATGAGCTAATGAGGGGCCTCCTGTTGGCCATTTAACAGTGATGTTGATGATCATGAAGATAATTTATCCCCCAAGAAGGCCCAGAACATCAGCTTGTTAATGAAAAACACATTAAGGCACGGTCAACATCTATTTACATAGATTACAGCAGACGTGGGCTCTGTGTTCACTGAGCAGCTCATCACGGTTATCTCTGAATCAGGTTTTTTTATTCGTCAAATAGGGAACAAATGGTAGCCGGCCATTTTTAAAGGCTACCTAAATCTGTTGTCCAAAATGAGATCGTTTCGGTGAAATCAAGTGAATAAATTCAGTAAAATCTCACATGTATGCAAGACTAAAGATTTTTCTTGATACTTTACCAAAACAGACAAAAATTATTATCTACTAATTTGGCCCCGTATTATTCCAGATGCTGATTTTATGGTGTGTGTTCACAACCAGCCGGATTTTCTCTCCACTATTCAAACTAATTATTGCAATGTGAGATTTTTCTAAAAAACTATTTCAAAAGATTGATTTGATCAAGTACATGTCACTTAGCTTTCCCATGAATAAATGTTTAAACAAATTGATATGAAAAAATATATTTTCTTATAGATTACATAAAAGGGGAAAGAGAACATGTGAGTGACCATGAAAGTATCAAGTTTAACTTCCCAAATTTCTTTTTTATTCTTTTTCTGGAGTTTTTTTTTTTTTTTTTTTTTTAAACAAGTCAACAGTTTAACTCAACTTTTTTAACCAACCGGAATCCACTCAGTGGACACAAAGCCTTCAACATGCATACATTCATAGAAAAGACCTCAACAGAGAAAATGGAGAATCTTGATGTACACTTTACGTAATGTGTTTTAAAAAATGTTCTTCCACCATCATACATTTCCATGAAATCATGCCCCAGTTCCACACTCACTCCTTAGCACTACCCCCCATTAGTGTTATGTAATGTCCGGTTGTACTGACCCCTCCAGAGTCAATACAAGCTTACATTTCTGTCATGTATGTGACACATCACTGACCCACATCCACCAGTCCTTACAAAGCCATCAATGCTACATGTGAACCCATGCACCTCTGACACATACAAGACCTCCAAATAAAAATTGAAAAAAAAACACTTACTACAAACAAAAACAAAGCAAACAACCCAAACAGAATATTTTGTTAAAATGTCCATCAGAGCCACGTCACATTGAGTGCGCCCCTTAAGATAATATTCATCCATATTTACATGCATGTGGAAATCATGGTAAAGCATCCACCTCCTCGTCCCCTGGGCAAACACGGCCTTCAGAATTTCATGCTCTCATGTTATCGGGTTTGAATTAATATGCATCTGCGACAACTGGAATCTGAGACTTTGCTCTTTTGGTCGGACATCGCATTCTCTCACAGGTGGAATCTTTGACAATAAAGACGTCTTAGACCCTCAGTGCTTCAGCAAAACAACCTATAAAAACCAGTAACCATTCAACAATTCATCCATTTTCTATATCCACTTACTCCAATTACGACCATAACTGTGGTTGTATGATTACGAAATATATAGTTACTTAGGGCTGTATATATCTTTTATATGTGAACTGTTGTTGGACTTTGTACTATTTCTGGTTTGAATCTCAGCACAGGCGTTTTAATTTGGAACTTTAAGCTCTTGAATATGGGTTAAGTGACCTAGATGGCTGAGACCTTAGTTGTCAGAGTTAGCTTGTTCCTGTTTTTTTTTCAAAAACCTGCATGTAAAGTGGACATTCCAAACTGGCCCTGAGTAAGTGCATGGTTGTTGGTATCTGTGATATCCTGTAATGGAGTGGTGACATGTTCAGTGTACCTCTCACCCAATGAAAGCTACAATAGGCCCTAGAACCCTTTAACCCTGAATTGGAATAAGAGAGTATAGAAAACGAAACAATGGATGATTGATGACTGACAAGTTACACCATCATGCTTTCTGATTGGAGTTTGCATGCTGTCTCATTATGGTTTGGCAATTTCCAGCTATTCCAAATGACCATACCATGCCAGAACATGCAAATTCCGTACAGAAAAGGTCCCGGTTCCCATGGGAACTCGCACCGGGAACCCACAAGCTTTAAGGTGACAGTGCTGACCACCACGCCACCATGCCATCCATATTTTTCATATGTCCGTCAAAATATAACGATGGCTTGCATGCAAGTATCAAAGTTGATTGATCTGCTGTTTATCAGAAAGTCAACTTTGTGGTTCCAGATAGAGTTCCCATTGCCACTAATCTCACTCTTTTTTTCAGTATAGTATTTAGAAATCGGTGCATCATCCATAGTTTTTACATTTCGTTAAAACCATGAACACAAACCAAAAATTAAGTGCAATTTAGTTGATAGTTATGAAAGATGTATCAATAGGTCTCAAACCAGAATCAGAACTTTTACCCAGATTTCAGTTGTCATGATGCAAGTTCTAATACCTACAACAATAACTGGAGGCAATAAGCCAACAGATTTGGTTTTAGAATATTGGATTCTTAAAAATGTATTCACTTTTAGATTAAAAATCCAATTGGAAAAAGTAAGCTTAGACTTCAGAAATGGTCACCCCACGCAAGTCCCAATTGGTTGAACCACATCAATTTAGGTGTGGAGGGGTGGGGGGTTTCAACCATCACCAACCCTGGGAGCCCTGAGGGAGGGGGAGGAGCATGCAGGGGGGGGGGGGGGGGGGGGGGGACATCAGGGTCTTCTTGCTTTTTACTCGTCCTGTCAGAGAGAAGCAGTGTCTTTTAGGGGGTTGTAATGATTTCCTGTTTTGGAATAAAACACACACACACTTGTTACACTATGCACAACATTTTCAAAGAAGAATAACTGAATGTCGATCTGTGGAACAACAACTCAGCTTGGGTTTCTTACCGTGGAAAGATATAGTCCAAGTTTTAGAGAAAAATGTGTTACTCCCAAGAAACTCAACATGAGTTTAGTTTTTCATTGAATGGTAAAATCTCTTGCTTTGATCATTTGACATTTTTTATTCTAATTTGATGTTCAGCTGTGAATAAAATGCTTTGTTGTTATTAGATTTATGAGATTTTAAATCTGTTTTTATTTGAATTAGTCACACTGTTCCAAAATTGGAGTTTGGGAGTGTATGGTGTAAAATAAACCAAGTTAATTTGGTTTGCTTTAAATGAAAGCCATAAAATAGTCTTAATGGACTGATGCATTTGAGCATTAGAGCAGCTTCTTTGGTTATGTGATTTTGAAAATCTAGAATTTCGAAGCTTGTCCAGAACACCTTGGACCACTTGATCCTAACTGAGCCTTTGCATGATTAAATGTAAAATGATCTCGTCTGAGTGTGCTGGTTCAATGTTGAGAAGTTTGATTTTGGATTTTGAATCCTAAACCAGCTGCTGTAAACCAGTGATGCTGGTTTTCATAGCAAATATTTCCTGTGTGGGTGTTGAACAGTTGGTTCGTACTTTTATTTTGTCATCATCCTTCATGTCCTCTCTCCTGTTTATACCTGTTTGATGATCTCTCCGGTTCTCTCGATGACAATGGTCTTCGCTTCTTTAACCGGTGAAGTGGCCTGGTAGTCATCGCCCAGCAGGCCGAGGATGGGATACTGGTTTCTGTACCTACAAACACACAACCACAGATCTTGAAAGTTAAATTTCAAGTTAAATGCTACCTCGTTAAAAATAAAATCCCGAATACTTTTCAGGGCCACAGTACAAACTAACATGGCCTAAAGCTCTATATGTTACAATGCAAAGGGGAATATATAATGTCCGAATTTTACTTTAATCCATTATTAAAAATATAGATAAACAAAAAAAATCACAAGCTGGCTTGAACTGAAAAAACACAACTGGATACGTTTATGTTTGTCTATAAAAGGAAAAAGACTCAAAGTTACGGATGACAAAAGGTAAGGTTTTGTAAATTTCAGAAATTTGAGCGTCTGAATATCTTGAATATCACCTCTTGGTGATGATGGTCTTGGTGACGTTTTTGGAGCTGTCGCTCCTCTCCGTCATCAGCCTCCTGATCTCCTGCAGGGCGACGCACACTCAAGTTGTATAAACAATATTTAATTCAGGCAAGATCTTTTTTGGCATATTTATGGTCTCCATTTCAGCATTTCTGAAAACTGGCTTCTTCTGTTGATTGATTCTGTTCAATCCAGTCACTTGCTTTTTCCAATTTATTCTGACTTCATCTATTAAAAACCCTACCCCTAAAAATGGAATACTTAGTTGTGAATTTGCTCAAAGCAAAGTGTATGATTATGTGAGAAATTGTGGTCATAAATAGTCCTCAGATTACAGTATTCTTCACAAACTGTATTAATTTGAAAAGTTTCAAGATTGAATTTAGTTCAAATCGATGAAGAGCTGAATTCTGAGTTTGGGGAGTTTGGGTGATCAATTGTAAATACTCCTTTGTCCTTTTTTAAGCCAATGGAGCTGCAAGATCACAGTCTAAGGACATGTGATTTTTTGCAGTTCAACACTAAAGCACAATCAGATAAACTAGGAGGAAAGTGCTGGTTTGTTGTGCTGCAGACCTCTTCCTGTCGCGTGATGGTGGTCTGCCTCTTTTCCAACGTGGAAAGCAGCTCGGAGATCTTCAGCTGAAGACTCTTCTCAGCGGAGGAGGTCTTTGTGATGCTGACCTCACTCTGAATCTTGATTATCTGGGACTGAAAGCGGGACAGCAAACCATAGAGCACAAACAAACACAAATCAACCACATTAATACCTGTCAGCAAATAAATGAACTACATTTTCCTCAAGAAGTGTGAATGTAGCGTGGATGCAAATCTACCAAAACTGTATGTTTAGAAGTTATTGTGATTGAAAACACTACTGCTACGTGGGTCAACTCTCCCATGTGTCAGAGTATCACATCTTTTTCACATCTCAGTCTGTGCATATTTGCTCTTTTTAACAGAAACTTTGACGTGTGGCCCAGGGAATCTAATTACCAACCCTCAGAATGACTAGCAACGGCTCATAATCACTTAGAAAGGTTACAACCACATGAAGACGCTGGGGACCATGAAAAAAGTTTAATTTGCTTATCTCTTTTCAGACCAATGGACCTACCAAGTTATGTCAAATGGTTTAGATCAAGATGATTTGATAGGAAAGCAGTAACTGTAGCTGAGAATTTATTGAGGACAGTTAATTATAGTGGATTTTATAGTATTTTTAAATGAAAGATGTGACAGAATTCATTATACTTCTGCACACTTTAAGATCTAAAAATACAAATAAATAAAAATATTTAAGACTTGGTGCCCTCAATGCAAGAATCCCTCCAGTTACAGCGACTTAAACTATGATACTTAGATTTGTACTGTCTGTTTGATTAAAAAAAAGTCAATGTAAATATAAGAATCATTTATTTTCTATCTTTTTTCTTTTTTAATTTGCATTTCTAACACATCATACAGACAGTGAGACTAAATTTGTGGGGAACAGGGTGAGGTTCATGTACTTTGCAGTGATCTAGTGATCCAGGTTTTTTTTTAAATGCTGGTCTTCATAACTCTTTTTCTAATAAAGTTTTTACATCTCTACAACCCGGTTCAGTCGGTGGGTCTTACCCGCAGCCTCTGGATCTCCTGGTCTTTCTCCTGCTGCATGGCGTTGAGCTGCTCGTTGTACTGGCGGGACAGCTCCTCTGTTTTTATGTGCAGGGTGGTGCTACTGCTCTGGCCAGACAGCTACAAAAGATGGGCAAACAAGAAAAAAGGATTATGTAACAGTGGTTTTTTGGGCGGCACGGTGGTGTGGTGGTTAGCCTCCCAGCAAGAGGGTTCTGGCTTCGAATCCCGGGGGAACCAGGACCTTTCTGGGTGGAGTTTGCATGTTCTCCCTGTGTCTGCGTGGGTTCTCTCCGGGTTCTCCGGCTTCCTCCCACCCTCCAAAAAAAAACCTGCATGTTAGGCTGATTGGAGATTGGGGAAATTGCCCTTTGGAGTGAATGTGAGTGTGAGTGGTTGTTGGTCCTTGTGTGTCTCTGTGTGGACTGGCGGACTGGATGGACTGGCGGACTGTCCAGGGTGTACCCTGCCTCTCGCCCGTTGACCACTGGGATAGGCTCCAGTTCCCCCCGTGACCCCATGAGGGAATAAGCGGTATTGATAATGGATGGATGGATGGATGGATGGTTTTTCTAATTCCCTTAGCCCCATCTGATTTGTAGATACGTGTAGATACTTGACGATTTATGTTGACCACAAAAATTCAGCACAGACTATTGTTTTAATACATATTGTGGGAGCTCTAAATTGGAGTGAATTGGTTGTTTGTATCTATGTGGCCCTGCCCTGGACTGGTGACCTGTCCATGGTGCTCCCCGACAGGTTAGGGTTAGGGTTAGGGTTAGAGTTAGACTTTGGATACCTTCTGTCGAAGCATTTCATTCTCCTTCTCCATTGCTCTCATCCGTCCCTCCAGTTCCTTGATCTTGAACTCGCGTTTGGAGTCGGTGTTCCGTCCACTCAGTAGCTGGTTCTCCAGAGAACGCTGGGTAGAAACGGCCTCCTTCAGAGACAACTGCACAGACAAACACACAAAGATTTCCAAACAGCTTATCTTCGTGAATGACTGTGATAAATCACCCATTTACGATGCTTTTGGTTATTTTTTTTACTTTTTATTACAACATTTCACTGCATGCAAACTGGGATGTTCTGAGTTTTAAGATAAAAAATAAATACAATTTAAAAACTGTATTCTTTGACATCATTATGACATCAGAAAAGCCTATACCCTCATTTGAAAGCTTGGATTAATTACACTGTAACAAAGAAAGTTCATTAAAAAAAAAAGTCAAATAAAACAACAGAAGAAGAGTTATGTTCAAACAGTCGTGCCCATCCCGTAAATGTCGTTAAACTGAGATGACTGTGGCTGAAAGACATTGTCAAACAGGCAAAGAATGTCACAATAATATGCATGCGTGCACTCACCTACCCACAAGTGCACACACACACATACTAGCAGTACCTGCAGCTGCCTGTTGTTGTCCCTGACCGCCTCCAGGAGGCTGTCATACTGCTTTGCCTGGTCCGCTTTGAAAGTTAAATCCCTCTCCAGGGACTCCTTGTCACTCTCCAGGCGCTGTGAGCACAGACACAAACACAAACACCACCATGTTGGTAATGCAACATCTTAACATCCGTTACATTTCAAATTCCAGCCCAGACTTTGCATTAGTTGTGGAACTGTTGTTTTTTTTAAACGAAACTCAACATGAAGACCTTTACCTGTACGTTTTTCAAACGCTAATAAAAGTAATAATTCCTGTACAAGATTTCAGCACAACACCTCCAGACAAGTTTTAAATAGTCATAGATTAAAAAACAAAAAACAAGATTCGTTTAAGGCTACTAGCCTTAAATTGAGCTGTATGTGATTTCCATGGACTTAAAATGGAGCTTTAGCTATTTTGCTGCAAATATCAAATGCATGCTCCTCTGGGCAAATCAATAAAAAATATCAGATCTACATACAAATCATTTGGAGTTTGGGGAAAAAAGAAATGAAGATTATTTTTGTGTTTTTTTTGGAAAGCTTACAGTTTTGAAAATAAGTGTTTTATCTCCAGTTGACCTCCCATTCTACTGACCTCCCCAACAACTATGTGGTCAGTGTCACCTCTGTTTCCAGCTAAGCCCTTATCAGTAAAATAGTCTGATTTTTAAAAGCCATATTACTTAAAGACATCACATTGTATCTCTCGATTTTAAAGTATGACTATGTTTCATATTCAGCAACGGGAAAATCATCAAACCTGAACTGGAAAGTTGGTCCCCACAATTGGGGGACCACATTTGTGGGGGGTTATGGGGGTTTTCAGGTTCAGCAAAACATTTATGTGAGATTCCTGAGCACTTCATGCTCTTTTCTCTTCTGAGACCAGTAAATAGATGTTTGAAAATGTAAATATTCGGACACAGTAAGTGAAACCTTAAGGTCATTCTTGACCTATTCCACTGCAGACAGCCAGCACAACCCAGTCATTGTTGTGTTGCCTGTTTGTTACTTTTAAAGCTAAAGATTTGATAGCAGTTTCACCTTAATTGAAAGTCCCAAGTGTATTTTAAATCCCCACCGACCTGTGATGTTCTCAGTTTAACTTTTCTCCAACAGACAACAGTATCTGGATCTTGAGTAATGTGAACTTTTGAGCTTACCCGCAGGTCCTCAGACATCTGCAGGAGCTCCTCCCTCAGGCTGTGGAAGGTGGAGAGCAGGAGCCGCATGCTCTTATCCGCAGTGAGGCGAGTCTGAAACACAAAGCACAAAACACCGGGTTCCCTTTTCTGTTCTGAGGGGAGGCCACTTACACTCATAGATTAAGCTTTACAAATTTTGGTTTAAAAACAACAATTACTTTGACTAAACTGCTTGATGTAAACTGTCAACTGTGTGCAAAAGCTACGACTACATGATTTAACACAGCATTTAAAAAATCATGAGCACATAATCACTTAATTTACTTATTATACATATTCAAGACTTCGGACACTATACTGTAATATGAAGACTTGGCAGTTAAAGAGGTTGAAAGTGTGTACTTACATATTATAAAACTTTAAAACATCGCATATTTTGCTGGTCAAGTTCTAGTGCATTTCTAATTACAATAAACAATTTTAATATGGTTTACCTGTTACAAACAAAACAATAAAACAAAGGTCGAGAAGCATTTTGGAAAATTGTTAAAATCATAGAAGACTGAGTTCAGAAGTGAAATGCAATAAAAGACTTACTTACTAATGTTCGTTCATTTTAATAATACTCTGGTCATGGGTATAATGTGTGTGGTATGCTTTGTTTTTTTGTTTTTCTATTCCATCCATATCTCTCACCTGTAGCAGATAGCGTATTTGTTGTTTTGTCAGTTCGGAAGCTCCTTTCGGAATCAAGCCCTCCACATCTTCTTTTTCCACCTGAACGCACAAATGAAGGAAGTGAATAATGTGCAAGTCTAAACAATGTGCAGACAAGCAGTGAGAAATCAGCTTATCATATCTGACATCTGCTTAATGCTGAGTAAGCGTCTCTATTTCTATTTTTTATTTTTTTACCTTCCAAAACAAATATAACATCCGGATTGGAACAAATGTTGCTCCTCTTTTCAGAACCACTTTAACAGATGTGCATGTTGGAGTTGTTGAACCAGTTCTGGTAACAGTGTTTTTTCCCTCCACTGCATGGTTTAAATCAGTATGATCTACATTTTTCATGTATTCAGTAGTCTAGTATTCAGCATATGCTTAATGTGAACAAAAGTGACATCAAATGCTTTCATATATTCAAGATATGTACCTATAAGCCACTTAATGGAAAGATAAGGTTAATTATTTTGTATACTGCAATAAAGTTATTTACATCATGATTCCATAATGAATCCACATTATCATATCGTATCTGAGAATCTGACATGAGGTTGTTCTAAAAAAAAATGTGGTACGACTTTCAAAAAAAAAAAAAAAAAAAGAAGCACAAGTCATAGTGTTCTGAACATTCTGGGGTTTAAACTTGCCACTGACACCGAGCCAGATGATCTTTCCCCTCTTTAGAACAGCAAAAGCAGCATCTGTGATTCAATAATCATAATTGAATAATCAAAAATTTCAAATGATGCAAACACAGAACAGCTTTGCACTTTGCTTCAATCACTTTTCGATCAGCTTAGGCCCAGAGAGGATATCTGCTTTGTGTTCACATATAGCTACTTTTCTGCATCATAGCACTTTAATCTGCATTTGTCAACAGAAGGAATTATTCTTACTCCAGCGATTTCCAAAATAATCATCTCTGTTTTAATTTGAATCAAAAGATTGCACGTGGCTTGATGAGAATCTTTGACTTATACCAGGAACAGCCGCACTTCCTCGTGGGAAAATTAAAAAGATGAATGTGAACTCTCACATCCTGATATGGTAACCATTCCTTCCTGACACAGCAGGTCAGGGTCAGCAGTGTTTTTCAGAGTCCAGACTAATAAGAACAGTCTGGGCTCTGAGAGTTGGACCTAACCCAACAGCTCCTAGTACCGGCCTGAGTCATATCCCGCCTCGACTACTGCGATACCCTCCCGACTGGCTTCCCTTAGCTGCTCGCATCAAATTCAAATCCCTGATGCTGGCCTACAGAGTGTTTGATGGATCTGCCCCCACCTACTTCAGCACCCTCTTAAAGCCCTATGTCGCTGCTCGTACAAGTCAATCTGGACTCTTCTCATCTGCAGTTCCACGCTGGTGGAACAACCTTACAGGTCAGAACATCAGATTCTCTTTCCTCCTTCAAGAAATCCTTGAAGACCCAGCTCTTCCGGAGTATCTCCTGTCCTGAAAGCTGTTAATGCTCTTATTTCCTGATAACATGTAGCACTCAATGTATACTTGTGTAATATATGTTATAGTTTAATGTTAAACCCTCTTTGTGTAAGTCGCTTTGGATAAAAGCATCTTTTAAATGCGCAAAATGTCAATGTAAAGTACGGTTGCCTCACAGGGCTGCATCAGCTCCCCGGTCCTCTTCACATTGACCATAAATGATTGTGTTACAACACAGCCAGGGAGCTTTATCATAAAGTTCTGGTGACACGGCTTGCCAGACACTGACGATAGCTGCTATTTCTCAGAAAGAGAGGAATTTGTCCAGTGGTGTGACCAAAATCACTTTGGTCCCATTCAAGTCCCTGATGCAAGCCTACAAAGTGCTTAAGGGTACGGCTCCCGTGTACTTGAACCCTCTTGAAAAAGCTTATGTCACAACTCGGTCACTACGGTCTTCAACGGATTGTCGTCTAGCCGAGCTACACCACGCTTAAAACAATCCAGACTGTTTTCATGTGTTGTTCCAAGATGGTGGAATGACCTACCAAGCGCTAAAAGAACAGCAGCATCCCTTTCTATCTTTAGGAAACTCTTAAAGACACACCTCTTCAAAGAGAATCTCTTATCCTGACTCTTACCAAGACCTCTGTACCCACTACTACTCTTTCTGAACTTCCTTCTCTCTCTCTTGCTGCCACCACTGATTCTGACTAGGGATTTTCCTCGAGAGAACCTATTGTGTCTAAAATTGTGTCTATTTTGTAAGTCGCTTTGGACACAAACACATAAATACATAAACACAAAGACGGTTGGCGACAAAGGGCCGCTCGTCATTGACAACAAACACATCAGTCAGGTGAGTTCATGCGGGTATCTGGGTCCACACTGACAGCTCTAGGCTGGAGGGTGCTTGTTGGCCTCGCCTTCTCGTCCTAGGCAGCCTTAGGGTTTACGGAGTGCGGCAGAGCATCGTGTTGCTGTTCTACCGGGCTGCACTGGAAGGTCTCACCGTCATCAGGAGCCTGACCGCATAGACTAGGCCACAGAATACCAGTCTGGTGTGAACTGCCATGAAGATCATGGGGGTCAGGAATCATCCCTCCAGGAATCAAATGCTTTATGAGCAGTTCGTCACCAGACGGGCACAGAGAACTGAGTCTGACCAGACTACCATCCTACACAACCAGTTCCAGCCACTACCTTCCAGGTACCCAGATCCAGGCTGACCTCCTACAAGAACTAATTCCTGCCAACAGCCATCAAACTGCTAAACAACCAACAATAAATGTCGGTGCAATAAGCTGACTGGTGCAATACATCACACCTGTGCAATACAATAGGAATGTCTTGCTCATTTACATATATATCTCTGTACATATTTCCCACACATTCATACCACCTCTGTGAAGCATGCCGTTGCTGAAACGTCCTGTTCATTTTACCTAAGGCACTATTATTATTATCCGTTCATTATTTCACCATTCTGCTATGTAAACTGCAGCTGGACGGAGTCCAAGAAACATTTCTCCACGGGAGACAATAAAGTATATCTTATCTTATCTTATATACATTTTTTTTGACAAATGTGTTGAGGAACTAAATAGAAATTGCTTCATTTGTGGCCACTCAGTTGCAGATTGCTGAACTTCAGTTCTTTACTTCTGACAAACTGCTCCTTTGAAGTGTTCTTCAATTATTTGAATGTTGTGGGAAATGAGTTTATAGGGATAGGCTGGGAGGGGCTGTGATAGGCTGGGATGGGCTGGAGCCACTCCCAGCTGACAGGAAGAGGCAGGTTCCACCCTGGACAGGTCACCAGTTAATCACTGGGCCAAACATTTAAAAAAAACACATGCACTCCCACTTACTCCTTGGGGTAATTTAGAGTCAAGAACAAAATATATCTACTGCTACTTGGCCATTGGTTGTAATCTGGTGCTTTTTGGATAACATTTCATTCAACTCAATATGAAAGGTTTGTTTTGTTTTCATTTCAAATCCAGTGTTGAGTTCAGTTTAAACATGTTTCACTAATACGTGTCATGCAGACTTGCTTCTCACCTTGTAGTCATTGTTGCTATCCAGTAGGTGTTTCCTGTAACACAGAGAGAGGAAAGACAAACAATGTGGGAAACAGAATGACTGGAGCGACATAAGAAGGACGTGTGTGTTTGTGTGTACATTTCCCAGTACACAAACTTTCCTCAGGTCAGGATCTGATGTGACTGTTTCTACTGAGTGTGAGTTATAAAGACAAAAATAATACATCTGCTGCATCTGTATCTGCTGGGTTAAGGCCACTTTGCCTTTTGACAGCCTGACATTAAGGAGACTTGAATAAATCAGCTCTCACTGTCACAGAATGCAGAACGTTTATGTCAGTGTGTTCTCAATAAACATCTCTATCGTTCACAAAGATTTTATGAAGACAAATATTAAGGCAATATACACTCAAACCACAACATCTATCAGAAAAATGAATCGTTCATTACATCATTGAGAGAAAACACTGGTGGACATTCATCTTAATATCTCTCAAGTGCCTCACTTTGTTGCAAACGGTTCATACGGGCCCAAGTGGGTCTCACTTCACTGCTAATATGAAATGCATCCACGGCGTGGTTTCCTTGAAAATGCTGACAGCACGTTTATGCAACCACTGTCAGAATCCCAGTAATTACTGCACAGCAAGGAACTAGCAAGCATTCCAAAGAGCCTGACATTTAACTGAAAACAGAAATTGCAAAGCGCTAGCTCTGCATGATGCTGCAGATTTGAGAAAAACTGGAGCCAATCCAGAGATTGTTATCACATTTGATTGTAAATTTAAAAGCATATTGAGCAGAATATTCTTAAAAAGATTACACATGCTGAATAAAGTGATTTCTTTCCACTCTTTCATGTGACCGAACAGAGATGCCATTTGGTATTTTTTGTTATATTTGTAATGTTGTGGGGAAAAAATATTAGGAAAACTAGTGTTGTTGATCTACGTTCAATCTCAACTTTAGTTCGTTGTTTTTGTCCTGTCCTTTGCAAGCATGTTGCAGATATGTGGAGCATTTGCAGACTTCTCTCTCCGTCCCACACTCTGCCGTTAAACGATAGCACGTGATTCAGCCGGGGGGGAACGTGCTGCTTAAAACCCAGGTCTCACTCTGATTGGCTACCACAGGCCATCAAACTTAAAGCTTCAGTCATACCTTTTCCTGTCACGGCCTGCCTTATGTCAGGCAAAAACTGTAAAACATAAAAATTCATGAGATCCCAAACGGCAGAACTGGGCTGTAGGGTTAAAAGGCTGTTTTAGTCTCATCAGACCAGAAAATGAAGTTTAGCTCCAACAAAAAGAATGTGAAATAGTTCCCGAGATGATCTATGTTGTAAGTTTTTTTTTTTTTAAACAAATAAAGTAAGTAAAGTAAAATCTGCTCCATGTAGCTGACAGTTGTACAGTATGCATGTTGGTGAGTCTGCAGGACAGGTCTTAACGTAACAGTATCAGTGTTGGAAAGTCAAAGGATTTTTGAGGGAGTAAAACCAATCGAAACTCACTTCTGACCTGTCTGAACAAGCCACATATTAGACTAATCTAAGCGGTTTACCCCAACTTCCATCTCCACGATGACTAAGATAAAGTCTCCATGATCAGACTATAAAGCCACCTTGTTAATAAACTTATTACATGAGTAAATTCATTTCATGTCGGAGTTTGGGATCTGTGTTAAGATATGGTACGGTATTTTGTCAGACTCAGTCAAGACATGGTGGTTGGACTTTATTTATATAGCTTTTTTCCAGTCCTACCTGCCACATTTACCCATTATTCATATAATTTTAGGGTCTGGAATCATGGTTAGGGATATCTTCTATCACACATTAGTAAAAAAAAGGGTGGATCGGGGCCAAAGACAGTCTGACACAAAACCACTGACCCTCTGACGGGTTTAAACCACTATTCCAGCAAATATATCCAATCCTGTGCCATTTTGGATCTACCAGCCTTCCGCATTGTAAAAAAAACAAGAAAAAAGGGTGAAAAAGTTCACATATTTGTTTTCATAAAGCTGAAAACAAGTCTTCCTTATAGTATTTTTCCTTATCACTTCCTGTGTAACCAATTACTTCATGGGTATGAAGTAACACACACACACACACACAGCAAAGCTAAGCTAATAGCTATTTAAAAAATGTCTTGCTGGTTCAGATGCAGAACATACATTTTTGATGGTAAAAGAAAAAATGTTTGTCAAATATAATCTTGTTTGTTTTCATGTAACTGTATTACATAAATAGACGGTCTCATGTTCAGTGTCGTGTGTGTGGCAGTGGTGGTGTGCTTACTGTCCACGGATCCTGGACACGTGCTCGGAGATGCAGGAGTGGATGTCGCAGTTCTTCCTGTAGACGTCGGCCAGCAGCTCGCCAAAGTAACGCGTGTCCATTTTAGTCACATCGTGCAGATCCCGCCGATGGTTCTCTATCTCCACCACCCTCTCAAACGTTTGTGACGGCTTTTGCTGTATGACGTTAACTATCTCCACCTCTTCAATCTCCACTTCTCCATCCACCTCTTCCTCTTCTTCTTCCACTTCTTCTTCCACTTCTTCCTGAAAAAGGAAAAAGAAAAGAAAATACATTTTAGCAAGCGTTTGCACACTCTTGTTGCTCCTTTTGTTTCTTTGGTTTAAGATGCACCTGCTGGATTTTTCAGAAAATGTTAGCCATGTTGCTGGTTTTGTGTACGGAAACAAAGAGAAAGAACATGGATCTGTGCTTTCTTAAATATTCAAAGCGTAGCTACACACACAAGTTCAGCCAGGCTCCAAGAGGTTCCAACAAGGAAGATACCAGAATTTCCCAACAGGTGGTTTACTCTGGTGGACTGGTTAAACACTTTTATGTACTTTCAAATCCTCTACCCATATTCAACCAGGGAACATGCTGTGAATATGCTGTGAATAGGATTTTGTTTAATGTTTTTTTGAAAATATCCCGTCTGCCTGCGTGCAACTAAATTCTGTTATTTGAAACTTTTTAGACTCAATGTTAACATTTCCCATGTAGAAACCAACTTATTGTTAGAATGAAAGCTTGGCACTCAGGCAACAGAAAATTTGGAATTATTACTTGAACTCAGTGACAGGCCCAAATACTAACATGGTTTTCGTGCACGGTTACAAAAGTGTGAGCACATGATGAGCAGAATACATATGGGACACCAGAGAAAATGGAGTGGGTGTGTGTAAACGGGTGTGGCTACGCTTGCATACCAGTCATTCTCGTAGAAAAGGGGAAAGTAGCGGTGAGAGAAAGACGTGAACTAATCTTGGCTCAAAACAGCTTTCGATTGTGCGGCTGTCATCAGAACCAGTGACGGATGTCACTTCTGACAGCCTCAAGTTGTCTGCACTTCAGCTTTGAACAAATTAGCACATTCTAACGACTTTAAAAAAGTATTCAAATATTCTATATTCTCCAGTAGATTTGATACGTACATAAGTAGATCAACTTAGCTGGAAGAAAATGTGACATTTATTACAAATTCACATCAAACCAGTAACTTTATGTGTTTATTGCTCATTGTTTAATTGCAAGTAGCCGCTATGGCTACTTGCATTAACTGTGGCCGATAGGTCAAAATCTCAGGTCATCTATCTTGCAATATCTTAACTGTGAGGTTTTGAAAATGTTATATTGGAAGTGACAGAGAGCCGAGGTTAGAAAACACCTCCGGTAGATAAGTGGGTCAAAGGTTTCACTCTCCTTTCCCTCCAGACAGGACAGGTTATAAAAATGAATGCAAGTTGCTGTTAAGTATATAATACGAGACCTTTGTCTCTCTTTGAAAATGAGAAATATCCATTTATGATTGTAGTTTTACTCTTCTTCTACTAAAAATACATTCTTTGCACAGACACAGTGCAAACTGTACAATATCTAGATTATCTGAATTTAATTATTTTTTCTTTTGAGTTACTGTTCTAGTTCTTTAAAGCATTTTCAGTTATTACCTGAACCAGAGTAAATGGTTTAGTTAGATGCAGTTAGGGTTAGTTGAGACCGTCAAACCTGTTTGGTTGCATAATTTTAACAAACAATTTCCCCCCCAAAATTCAACCAATTTTAAAAATGAAATATCAAGATAACAATACAATCTATAAATCTCTGAATTGATGTTAGAAATAGAAAAGATTCAATAGAATGTATCCTTTATAACATACAAAAGAAAACTGCATTATTTATTCTCAAGAATAAAAATGCTCTCTTGATGTTCACGCACTGGCTCATTTAAAGGTGAATAAGATTAAGTAACACAAATGCTAAATTTCAAAGCTATTAGACTGGTAACAGACTCATTGAACCAAATGTTGAATGATGGAAAAGAAACTTCAAATGCGACCTAATAAATAAAAGGTTTCCAGATAAATAATTTGATTATTTCAAACCATGCAGAAAGCTGTCCAGCTGTCCAGCAGGTAGGGGGCGCTATGGGGACAGTGGAGCTTTGGGGTTCACTGACCTCCCTCAGCTGGATTCTCACAGACTGTGGCGTTCAGCTGCCTTGTAGATGCTACATTCCGGAGAGGATAATAACAGCTTTGTGATAACAGGTTGATGGGCCTACACGGCGTCTGTGTGGAGCTGACTCACCTAAAAGTCTAGCAAGTACACAACACTGACCAAATAAAGCTTGATTTCTCTCTACATGCTTTGTTAATATGTCTTGATCTTATGGGTAATAATTAATTTAATAAATGATGGGTTTGTATTTGGTCAAAGTTGAGAGATAGCTGATGATTATTTAGATTCTGAGTCATTTTTCATCTATATTAGGTCTCATGACACCTTTCCACGAGACACTATTTAGCTCCAGTTAACTTTATATGACTTTTTCATTTAGCATTCCATTTTAGGTCATAAGAGCAGGACCAGAACAACCCAAAAGTCACATGATGTCATCTGTATAGAACCTGAACACAACATGATAATACATTGATTAAACCTCTTCACTGGACAGCAGTGTTGGTTTAAGTGTAGATATTTAACCTGTTGATGATCACAGAAATAATGATATTGCATCAATGCCACATTTTCATTGTTGCCACATTTTAAAATCTAAGTTTGCAAACTCTTCTCATAAGTTTGAAATCGCACCTGATGACTAAGTTTGAAAAAAAATCAAGATTTCTCTATTCTATTTTTATAGTTGCATTAGATTACTATCTACACTTTGCTAAGACGGTCTTAAAGGGAACCCATTACAGAAAGAAGGCCACAAAATCTATTTATGAATGATAAATAAAATAATTATAATGATAATTATAAAGTAGAAACTTTCTAGTAGAATACATTCTAGTTTTGCAGTGTCAAAATATCTAAACTGTCAAAGTACTTTCAATAGACTTGAATATCTCATTTACAAACCAAAAAAATGTAATCTGATGTGTCAAAAATGTTAAATTCCAGAAGAAAATACACTCTTTTCTTCAGGTATTCAGCCCTTTAATGGGAGAATGAGAGGGAAAGGGTACTGATTTAGGTCAGTGGGTAAGTTTGGCTCTCTCAAGTAACACAAAGCTTTGTTATAGTGTCCGGAGTCACCTTACCACAAAGCCTCTTTGTGTGCTTCTCTGTGAGTCTCAATGCGAAACATCTCTCTCGGGTGGATGAATATTAGCTTTTCACCCTGTTATTCCACCTTGAGCCTTCCTAACGTCAACTTTCTAAGGATCTCACAGGTGTATTGGCAAGCATCCGCCTCAGGTATTTACCAGCCATGCAAACAAAAATATGTGAAAACTATTTTACTGCCGCCCTGTGTTTTATTTTTTGGTTTGCATTCAAATCCAAAAAGTTCGTTGAGAGAAAACTGTACTTTATTCAAATGGAGTCGGACGCTTGGCTTAGTTTGGCTTAGCTCTGCAGAACTTTTAGATAAATAAGTATTTTTAAGGCTCTTTTTATGCAACTTCATAAGTGGAAAAGCACCACAAATACCGCGGAAACAATTCTGCTGGGAAATAATGGCGAGCAAAGGCGGTAAAGGACCACAAACTACCACAGTGACATCGAGGTGACGCACTGTCGGCCTACCCGGATACACTGACCCCTCCAACGGGCCTCTGGACGCTGAAGTTATTAAACCAGCTCAGAAAAAATAATGACAGGATGTTGTTGGCGTTCCACAGGGCCCTGACAGCTGCCCCCCATCATTCATTGCTATCCTCCTCCAAAAATCCCTTGAATTCAAATCCAGACAAATATTCTGAGCATGGTGACAAAGCAAATGAACTTCCCTCCCATCAGCTTCAACAAACAAATGCTAACAATGCTATTTTAGAGATCCATGTGGCACCTAATGCGACCTCCACAAACCATAAAACTGTTAATGAGAGCTTCTGACAGTTTTATTCATTCATATTCTAAATCAGAAAGATACCAAAGATTGACATAGAAGCCCTTAAAATAACTGAAGCTCCAACAAAATCTCAAGAAATGATTGAAGCTGTCAACTCTATGAGAATTGGTCCCGATGGGCTCCCCATAGAGCTTTTTAAAAGGTTTGCATCTAGGCTCGCTCCTCCATTTTTGTTCTGTTTATCTGGAATCGCTGCTACGTCATAAACTGCCAGAAATGATGACACAGGCTGTGATGTAAAAAGGCAAAGGTCCTTCAGAATGTAGCGCCTACCGGCTGATTGGCATTCTTTGCTCTGACAAAATTCTCCTGAAAATACTTGTGTAGCGTATCGCAGCAGTTATTCCAAAAATCATCGTGCCACCAAACAGGATTCACACCAGGTCCACAGCCTTCTTATAGCATGTGCAGACTACTGAATGTGATCTATTCCTTCCACTCCAGAGTTCATAGACAAGGCTGTAGTCTATCTCCTCACTTATTCAATATTGCAATTGAAGCACTAGCCATACCCTCAGAACCGATGACAAAATTGCTGGGATTCTAAGAGGTGAATCCTGCCATTTAGTCTGTCTTTATGCATTAAGTTCCATACCAAAGATCATGGACCTATTTCATAGTTTTGCCCGGATCACTGGATATAGAATTAACTTTTCCAAAAGTCTCCTATTTCCTGTCAATCAATTAGTCCAAGATCTTAACTACAACAACATTCCTTTTAAATTTGAATCAAACTAGGATTTATACACCCAGAACTTAGGTTAAAATGTTCTTCCCTGTCAATCTCTTTTGCACACAGGGTCATCATAATTAAAATGTCTTCTACTTGTTTCAGATGATGCATTTCTTTCCTCCCAAATCCATGTTCACAGATCTAGACAGCCATATTTTTACATTTGACAAAGAGAACCCACAAAGACACAGGCAGAGCATACAAACTCCACAGAGACGAATCACTTATTAAGTTTAGTATAATCCCCACAAAGTTCTGCATTCCTCCTAAACTCTTCTGCTTTACAACAATATCCATTAGCATTAACATTTTGAACAGAATTACCCATTACATGGACACTTTTCAGCACTACACTCAGCCACCAGCGTTTTACTGCAAACATGAGATGACAGATGAGAGGTTTAACATTCCCAGTCAAAAACAGAAAAAAGAACACAGACAGTACAAAAGCAACAGTGCAACTCAAAGTGCTTCTGATGTCATTTCTAGTAAATGAATGACAAATTCACACAAAAAAAAAAAAATTCAAGTCGAACCCAAACTTTTAGAAGTCACACATAGGTGTGGTTGTTTCCCCACACACCCAGATTTTTCCGATACCAACGTTGTAAACGTGTAAAAGGCTTCCAAAGCCAAGTCAAAGAAGGCTGATTACTGGAGTAAAGCCTCGAGTCTGCCGGCCTGAATGAATGAAGCTGACAAGAGAGAACCAGTCCTGAGCAAGCTGGAGCATGAGCTGATTACACTTTAGAGGAACGACTCCCACATCTGCAGACAGATAATGCAAATCTCATCTGAGCCTATATTAGCCGAACTGATCAGAAAAGAAAAACACTGAAAAAACCGCAGTGTTTTTTTTTTTCTCTGGCTGTGTTTGTGTGAATACGGTTTTTGTCTTCGTCATGCATGGTAACAGATGAGGTGCAAGTCAAACAACTGGCCTGCTATGAAAACAGCGTGCGTGACATTACAGGTTCAGATCAAAGGAATGTCCCCACCTACCGCAAAGGCCTCTGGGAATGGACGCGACACGCCTCGGTTTAACACTCGTCCTGCCTCTGAACTACCACCGTTTATGGACCCGGGGTTCTGAACAAAGTGCCGGTGTGAGACTGAGATTGTGGGGGCAGGGCGGAACGGCACATAGAAAGCAACTTAGAGCAAACGCCTCAAGCAGAACTTTGAGGTTTCAGACACACTCTCGCGTGCTTCAAACTTTCATGTGTTCCCATGTGGGCGCTGCCAACAAACAGGTGTGTCGGCTAAACTAGTAGAGGGACTCCAAAACACCTTTGCACTCTCTGGGCTTGTCGTCTTATTGAAGTTTCACGTGTTCCACAAGTGCTTTCGTTAATAAAAAACATATAAAACATATTCCAGATGAAGTAATCATGAGAATAACAGTTGAAACTCCACATTTTTGTTAGAGGTCCATGTTATATTAATTTATTAATAAAATCTGAACTTCTTTATGGAAACCAAACATTGTTGCTTTTCCTTTTTTCCCGACTTCATTTAGACAATCCTCAACATTTCAAATCTGGCATAATAGACTAGTGTGTGACGACTTAATGTTGCAACAGTAACTTCATGTTTCAGCTCCTCTACTGTCTGACTCAGGGACATTTACAGAAAAGGCTGCCACCCATAACCTGTTGTAACGCGCCCATTCGCTTATTAAAACAATCTTTTTTTCACCTGATGTCATTAACAGCCAGCTACATGAGGAACTAGATGAGTTGGAGCCACATGCAGTGTGGATCCCCGTGTGAATTAGCCGCCATATTTGATCCGCTCGTGTGCGTTTGCTTACCTCCTCCTCGAAAGCGGGCACGGGACTCTTCATGGGACTGGAAGACTGGCTGAACACTGAGGAGGATTTCTCACTGACACTCTGCAAAAGCCATGAGCAAAGTCCAAGAGAAGAGGGTCAGAATCAGGGACAAGTACAAGACACATAACATTATCTGTCCCCTTTATTACAAAAACATAACACAAAGGTTTTTATTACTTGTGAGACCTCAAGTACAGGAGTGCAAATGTTTAATTGTGGTTCATGCATTCAAATTTAATGTATCTTTATCTCCATCGAATGTCAAATTTGTGGCTGAATATATTGTTTGTTAATTAATCTGATAAATAAACTAATCTAAATCTTGACTGCAGCTATCACTGTTGCCTTTCTTCGATGAATGTGTTCACTTTAAATCACAATTCTTTCAAGAGCAGAGTAAGATAACTTGCCTAGAGGATAATACTTTATTTCTCCTCAAAGCCTCTTAAAGCCATAAATATTAAAAAACCTTCCCACAGTCTGTCAGTTGCCGTAGGAATGTATAAAATTGTAAACGTGTCGTGCCCTGCTTGAGCTAATGTGTTAAATCTTGGCTAACGTCTGTGCTGTCCACATGTTGTTGTTGGAAGTTTGTCCTTTTTACAAGCAGGAATTAGATTCACAAGCCAAGTGTGTACTGTATATTTCTACTGGGACATATTCTAGATATATATTAGCACATTATCCTACAGGGTTCTTTCCAGGTCCTCCAGAAAATGGATAAAAATAGGTGAATGAATAATTCATTTATTATACTAGTGAAAAAAATGAATGAGGGATTTAATGATAATAATGATCTATGGACAGAGTGATGTGGCATTCCTAAAAAAAGGTATACCAGAAATAACAGATTTTAGTGCATAACTCTAACATGTCATTTCTAACTATCTCTTTACACCCGTTTGTATTTCTGCCAATATTTTCAGATGGCGGGATAAGTGATCTGACTGATAAAGATCAGGTCGTCTGTGGAGTTATGTCCACATCTCTGTTGTGTAATCAAGGCATATCTGACTTTGAAGTCCCCCTTAAATATTTTTTTATTCATATTTTTTTGGGCTCAAAGAGTAGATTGAGTTGATATTGGATGTAAATTAAACATGTGACAAAGGTCAACTGCAAAGAAATTAACAGTGGTGAACATTGTGTTTTTGGAGCTGTATCACTTTTTTTTCTTTTTTTCTGACTGTTGCAAATATTTTAAGGTCTATGATTATTTTCCAAAAGGAAAATTCAACCCTGCACAGTTGCCTCAAGTGTGCAGATCCACATGCAGAACCCAGGAACCAAAACATTCAGAGAAACTCGTATTTATTTAAACAAAAGGCACAGCTTCATGCCTTTTAAATAAACTAATAATGAACCAATAAAACTACTACTAATAAACTAATAAATAAAATACAGCAATAGAAAGCAACCTTGTAGAGACACTAGAGGTAATGGCAGAGTATTATTAATATTCTCTATGAGTCTGAGAATGAGACAGAACATGGGGAGTGATCGAGGGTACACAAGACCCCGGAAACCGAATAAAAGCCCAGAAAACCAGAACCTAATAACTCAATCTGGAAACAAATCCACAAAACCTAAAACACAGATCATAAACCAAAAACAATCACAACTCATGACACTACCCTAATGTTAAAATGGTATTGACTTCCAGCTCATTAGCAGTGGCTTGGCCTTCAAAACTCCCCTCTTAACTGGTCATCTAAACCAGGCTGTGAAAATTCGAAGCACCGTGTAGGAACTCAGACACATGGATGACACATGGGAAACATGCCAACCCTTTGGGGGTAAGATGACTGCCCACCAGGGCCCTGCTAGACAGCTGTGAGTGATTGGGACTGGCAAACTAACAGAATGACATGTCTGACACCTCAGGAGCAATGGGAGGAGATTTATTAACTCTTTCTGCATTCAGTGTTAGCTATTATTTCAATTGCAATATTGTATCTGCATTCTAAGCTGGTTTGGATAAAAGCGTCTGCTAAATGCAACAGCCATATCAACTTCTTTAGTCCAATTACAGTTATGACTATTTAGGATATATATATTTAGGAGATATTCTTCAGAATCCCCCAAAACATCACCTGAATAAATGAGTTTGTCTCTGGAACACATTAACTCAGAGAAGAAGTAATGACAACCAACTGAGATCAAACCATTTGAGCGTGAAGCAAACATCTGTAACAGTCAGTCTACTGTACAGCAAGTAGCCCAACTAATAAAGTCTTTATTTGGATCATGGAAAACTGACATGCAACGAGGAAGTTGGTTGAGTTATGTACGGTTATAAAGGTTGGCTCCATTAACTGGCCTCAGTAAGCAGCTTCATGATCTCTGCGCTCTCGGGAAAGCCAGTAACTTTTAAGAAACTTTTATTCTGACAGAGATATGCTACCTGATGCAAACCCTCCTCTTAATAAATCGGTCAGAAATGACGGTTTACAGGGTTTGTGTGTGGAAGCAGAGGGGCTTGGACCTCACCTCCACCGCGTTCTGCATGTGGTACAGCACCTCGGAGCCCTGGCTCCCGATGCTGACGCGCGGCAGGGTCTGCACGTACATCATCTGCTGCATCATGGGCTGCTGGATCATGGACTGCGTGATCATGGGCTGCTGCATCATGGGCTGCTGCATGAGGACGAGGGAGGGCTGCTGCGCGGCCTGCTGCACCGGCATCAGGTAGCGCATCGTCTCGTACGAGCCGTTCATGGCGTACGGCACCGCGGACACCTGCGTCACGGGGGAGAGGGGGGCCACCGCCGTGGTCACCTGCTCCTGGGGGGCCACGTTCACCGTCCTGTAGGTCCGGGTGGTCGTCTTCTGGTTGGTGTTGTAAGACATCTCGAGTAGAACTGTGGAAAGGTCCGATTACGCTTAAAAAAAACAGACGGCAGCCGCGGAACTTTGCGCCCCGGAACGCGCAGGGAGGGTTTCGGCGTCGGCGTCGGCGTGCGCGGAGAAGTCGTCCCAACCAAGACTGACTTTCTGGTCTTCCTGGCCAACTTGGAGAGGAAAGTCCGGTCGGAGCAGTTCTTCCAAAGAAACGTAACACTGGAGAGGGAGGCGCGCCGCTGGCTTCTATGCAAATCCGGCCGTGCGCGTCACACGGTGGGACGGACGGTTCAGACCGAGGTTCAGACGGTCAACAAGTGGCGTGTTGGCAATGAAGTGCGCCAGAAGAGGGAGACAGATGGGAGACTGATGCCGAAATATGTCCAAAAAAGTTCATTTTTTTAGAATAATAAAGCTATTTTACTCTAGATATATTGATTAAGCAGTAAACTGGTCATTTTGTGCAGGGTAAGAAATCTTGTCACGTGCCACTGACATGCCCACAGGTACCCACTCACCTGCCAATTCACCTGCTTACTGACTTTATAACTTTAAGCATAGTGTGGCACAGAAAACTAGCAACGGAACCATTGTTGAAACTGTGCCAAAGCAATCATCTGAACATCATAACATCAGAATAGTTTTAAAAGTTTATACAGAGGTTCTCTAACGTCAGGGTCCCTGAATTTACAGGTGAACAAATCTGGCTCCCACTGCTGGAGCCACAGGGATGTGAATGTGGATGTGGACCAGGGGCTCACAGCCAGAGGGGATGGGCTGGGAGGGTTTTGGACTGAGCCAGAGTCCTTCCAGGAGCAGGTGAGGACTGAATTCCCACTCCTTCAGATGCACACGGAGGATTGGAAAAGTGAAAAGGCAGAGTTCATTGCAAGGCTGTTGGAGCTGATAATGGTTAGAGCGATAAGATAATCTCAAGGCGTGTTTGTCATCAGGAAAAGATGGAAAAGTTCTACTGAAAGTTCTGACTTATCCATGCCTATAAGTTCATATTTTTTTGGCTCCCTCAACCTTTAAGGGACATCAAGACTTGCATTTTTGCCCAATCTTCAGTGGCTAACAAAGGGACCCTTCCATCTTGGAACAAGCTTGTTTATCAGTATCCAAGAATACAATGTCCCCTGGCTAATGGGGGTGAAACACTACAGACTCTCCGGCCATCCATACTATCTTGCATAGTCATCAAAATACACTTTTGCCACAGAAATAGCATGTAGACAGACTTTATTTTACATTCACAATTACATCAACATGACACTTTGTTTCACATCTATACAGTGGTTGTACAGTGAAAAGTGGTTAGTGTACTTTGTAAAAAAAAGTCCATTAGAAAACGCAGTCCCCGGCTTTGTGAACACACAGGGAGCTCTGAGATGTCTGCTGCAAAGGCTTGGAATGGTCGATCTACTTATATTGGCATTAATAGGACACTTTGTTATGGAACCTGGCAAATACTCAACACAAAACTATGATCCCACGAGTCATAGATGGCCTCTAGCAGATTTGGCTTTGTAGTTTATTAAGTTTTAACAATGCAATACTTATCCTACATGTCATGAAAAAGTAAATGAAAGTTACATTATATGGTGTCAGAGGAAATTCGAGATCTGTGTTTGTCGGGTTAATTCATCTGACATAAGTCAGCCCTGCCTGCATCTGATCTCTCCAAATATCCTTGTAGTCAGCTTTGAGATCAGTTTCACCTGAACCAGACAGCAACAACAGTCTGTGACATTGTGGGACCTTCCATGAGAGTAACACCAACAGTATTACAGCCCAAGTAAAAAAAAAAAAAACTACAATTTTATCAGTTAAATATGCTTTTGTTCAGTCCCAAGAATAAATTATATTTAAGTAGGAAGACCCAACCTGATCACTGCTTGTGTAATATTTAAGAACTAAACATTCAGTGCTCGAGGAAACTGCAGAGGAAGATGTATTGCCTTTATACACAGACATTGAACATAAATATCAAAACTTTATTTTTGTCCTCAGCAGCCATTTTCTACTGAAAAGCTGAAATATGATTTTAAAAATATATAAATAAATAGTAGTCATAATTATTGTAACGATTTATTTATTTATTTACATTTGGGCATTCTAACTATTTGTCTTCGTGTCAAAAGTCCGAAAGCCGTGCTAATGAATTCCAATCTCGCGATGTTTTCCGAGAACAAGTCAAATACCAGCCAAATCCAGGAAGCTCCAGTTTTTCTTAAACACAAATGGCTGCGTTTGAACTGCCCTGCGGTTTTCCGTTAAAGCGAGCCGACATTACTGGATATACGATGTCCTTACCAGCCATTTGAAACTGCATTCACCTCTGGTGAGAAAAAACCTTTGACTACACTAATAACACTACCGTTAATCCTGTTTTGTTGCAAGCTGTTGACATCTTTTCTACTGCATTCTGGCTCCGCTACATCATAGCCTGGAGGATTGTTGCCATGTGAACAGCCACAGTCTGCGAATGTTGTCATTACGATATCATTTTCAGTGACCTACATTTGCTTTAATAGTCTCCCGTCTCAGTAATGTTAATGTTTTCAAACGTTTTGAATCTGCTCCACCCTCTTCTTTAATTCCAACGATAGGTATATGTTTTCATGAAAAATAAAAGCTCAGCCGATTCTATTTTGTGCTGCCAAAATTGATAGAAATATTCCATTTAGCTTTAATATAGATGGATGCTGTATCTTTCTGCCTGTTTCTGATTTATTCCCCCCCAATTGCATCTTGTATCCATTGACAATTGTTGTCATTCCTGATGCTTATATTGGAACTGTATGTATAATTGGTTTATTTTTATGTATTTTTTCCCCAGGTATCCTTGATATAACAAACATTTTAAGGTATCATAGAGACATCATGTTGAACAGGGTTATGAATGCAGTTCCATACATACTTTTGTTTTGAAGTGAGCGCTGTGACGCAGCCCTGGTTAGGTAATGCAGCATGTCTGGAATAATCCACAGAGATTACAGCACCACTACAGCACACAGGCCTCTGTCCCTCACACATCTGCCTTTCTCTTCAATGTGTTTTTTTAACATGACTGCTGACCCCTTCATCCTTCATATTCAGAAGTGGAAAGGCCAACAAAATCTGCACTTTAGTCATTCAAACCTATCTTTGTGTAATACTAGTTGACAGAAAAATGGTATTAGAGTAGGAGATTTGGTTTATTTTTCTACTAAAAATTTAAACAAATGTTCCCTTGCTTCTGTTCACCTTCTTTTTTTGATGGCAGGTGGTACTAGAAATGGACTAATTCGGATTTATTTCACATGCCATAAAAATACTTGAAATGCATTTTCCGTCCATCCAGGAACTCTCCAAGATCTCCTTAATGCAAGATATTTTGTATCTCCCTCAGTCCTGTCCAGCTGTCGAATTGTATTCCAAACCATCTCCTCTATCTATGTTTAATGTAAATGCTGTTGTCCATGTACCACTTGGAGCTAACCTACTACATAACTTTGGAGCCAGTGGTGCTTTGAGTCTTAGTCTGTTTGAAGAAGTAAGAAAATAGAAAACGTATTAAAAAGGAATACTTCATGAAGTGAGAGCAACCATCATGATCATAAAAGTTGTTCATACGACATACAAAGCATGTTCTTTACTATTTTCCTCACATAATCTATTTATACCTAACTCCCTCAACAAAGAGCCAACAGACCTTGGAACAAATCCTACATCTTTCTTCCACTGGACAAATGTCTGCTCTGTTTATGGCCCTTACACCACATATCTATGTGTTTTCCTTATGCATATCATCTAAACACCCTGCAAAAGATGATATTGCTACTTTTTGCACAGTAGTGTCTATTGAGATATTCCTTTCTATAAAAAAACTAGCTAATCTCTTTGCTGCAACACTAAGGGAGATCTTCCCCTCTACATGTAGGGGAGAGATCATTCAGAACTAACCCAGGTCTGTGGACTTTTTCTCCTTTGGAATAAAAAGGCCTCCTGTCTTAACCATGTTCTAGGAAACATTAATCCACCAGGTGTACTTTTAAAGTGTAAGGGACTCTATTTGGACCTTGGGCTAACAATGCTTTTGCACACTTGACTGCCTCCTTAAACTGCTTCCACCTAGGTGGTCCAGCATCCATCACATTAGCTCTCTCTCCTAGTGGAGCAGGCCTGCTACTTAACACCGCTCAAGCTCTGAATGTGTTTTTAGTAGACCTTTTTCCAGCCCAGGCTCTATAACAAACCTAAACATGTCCCTGTAAAACCTAGTCTGTACTTATTCTTTCTTGTCTCTCTGTTTCTGCCCTTTAAAGTACTGCTAGCCTGCTTCTTAAGTCTTCCAACAAACCACGAATTCCCTCCCTCTCCTCTGTTTTTTCTATCTCAACTATCGTCTTTTCTTAACCAGTTTCTCTATTTTCTTTCTCTCTCCACCTAACTAAATTTACACGTTCAACCCTTTTTTTAACTTGCTCACCAATCTCTCTACAATATTGGAGTAAAGTGTATCTCCCATCTTCTTTAGTATATTGCTTTTCTTTCCTCCCAACCTAATAAATATAATGAACTCATCTCTATTGACTGCCTCCCTTTCTTTCCTTTGGCCCTGGCTCACTTAGCTCCAGCTTTCTGCTCCATACTTCTTTCTGTGATCTTTCTGTTCACCTCACTATCAATATCTGCTCCCGTTCTCAGAACCTGCTCCTCTACCTCTGTAGCTGTATCACTGATATCCTTTGGACTGTGTTTGTCTGCCTTCCACTGGACTTTATCCGACTTATTCAATTGATTTCCTAAAAAGCACTGATTGATGCAGTAGCACTGGCCCTCTATTGTAACTAATCTCTTTCTTCCCTCTTGCAGTTTAAGGCCTAAAACTGATGTTACTTAACCAGCCACATAAGAACGATTAAGCTGAAAACTGGAGAATGAAATGTTTTCACTGAGCTGTTATTTACATCTGAATGTAAATGTGAAAGTTTCCATTCGCTGTTTCTTCAGGTCAAACCTTTGCTGATATTTTCATCGACCTACCGAAGTCATGTCTGGCTCAGGCGACCTACCAGGTACGTTTTCCTTCACTTTTTTGGGAGTTGTATATCCATGTTACAACGTGTATGTAGGAATTAATAGCACCAGCTTTGAAGGCTGTTTCAGCCCTCAGTTCTGCAGAGCAGTTTTAAACTGTTAACCCACTTCATGTTCACTGAACAAGTCCTTTTGTATCATTCTGAAATTTGCAGTATTTTTCGGTTTAGGGTAACCAAACCTTTTCTTCTTTAACCTCTCTGGTCAGTAATTACCTTTGTACTATTTCTGCTTCATATTTTTATTAAAGTGTGTACAAAAGTAGCAAAGGCACTTACATAGTATGATGGCTTCAGGATTAAACAAGTTGGCATACAGCTTTAGATTTAGGATAGTTTTTTTTAGGGAACCATGTCACGCTGTTCATTGGACTTGCACGACTTGAATTGCAATAACTGGAAAAATTATGGTGTTCTTAACCCTTTAAAGTCTGATCAAAGAATAAAACAAACAGAAAATTATTATTTTTTGGTTTGAATTCCTTATTTGGACTGTTAACAAAATATGTAAAAAGAAAAAACAAAAATTCATTTTTAATATTAATGATTTATTACTATGCGATAAGTCGAGATTATTTTTTGTGTAGTCTTCTGCCCTTGTTATCAGGTGTATCTGATAGTGTAAATTAGTATTTTGAGTAAAGTTTTTACTATTAAATTATGCAAAAGGTTTCAGACGCAAAACATTTCAGAAACCCTATGAATCAAATATGACACATTTGGCATTGCAGGGTTAAAGTTTTGACCAGTGGGTACATGTATGTACACACACACACACACACACACACACACACACACACACACATATATAGATGGATAGAGAGATAGAGAGAGAGATTGAATTGAAGTTTATGGCCTGTGGAATCCATAGTTTCCAATTATTCCTGCAGCTATTGAGTTTCCCGGAATGGGTGGGATGAAGCTCCCCATTGGAATGACTCGACGAGCCCTCAGCTATGACGACAACTTGGAGGCCCCCATGTCCACACCACCCCACGATATCAGCATCAACAACCTCTGGAAACGGCCCGTCATACCGGAGAGGAAGTTCCTGCACCTAGCTGAGGTGGGGGCTATCGCCACAACGGCCAGAGCCATTTTATGGGAATATCACTGATAATTTCAAACAGACTGTGTGTTACTGTCTGCTAAAGATAATGTTTGTGTGTTTTCTTCTATCTTCCAACAGGAGGATGAGAGCGGTGCAGCCAGACAGTCCGCTGCCCAGGAGAGTGTCCAGTCCAGACCACCGGCTGTAGTGAAGGCCAAGGCCTCTTCGGTCATCATGAACTCTCTCATCACTAGTACGTTCTAACGCTTAATCTTAACTGGCACTATCCAAGCAGAATCTTTTTTGATGTGTTCTCCATACCCTGAAGACATTTTCTCCCGAATACCAAAACTGTGAATGTCATTAATTCCGAACTGCAAAGAAAGGGAATAATAATGAGAAACTCTAAAGGCCGTTTGTGGATTAGATCAAAATCAAAGAGCAGCTGTCAAATCCTAGGTTTGAATTTAAATGTATTTCCATATGACCAAATCTGTCTCTTGTAATTTGAAATCGTTCTATATCTTGTTGTGGACTTTTTTATTTTAATCAAGAGTTTTAGTCCATCTGACTAAAAGTCCACATTGTGTATACAACGTACCAAATTCCTCTGATGGAAAAAGTAATGTTGCATTCTGTAAACCTCCCTGAACAAGCCCCACACACCTGCTGGGGAGATTTGGCCAAACAAAATGAAGTAAAAAAAGACATTCAGTGGCAGCTGTGTGCGTTATCTACTTTAATGCTCAGAAACTTAAGAATAACTGAGAGCAGTTCCCAGCCATCTGAGCATGTGGTCGGAATAGAAATGTTGTTGTTCAAAACAAAGACGTCTTCCAAATCTTCCTCTCTTTCAGAGCACACCCAGGAAAGTGTGTACAAGTTTGAGCAGAGAGCGGGACTCACCGACGCGGGCTACACGCCCCACAAAGGCCTCACTGCCGAGGAGACCAGACACCACCATCGCATGCCCGAATCCCTGCAGGTAAGACCTGGTCCAGATCACATATCTGCTCTGTGGATTCATTACTCTCTTTATGAATGTGGAGTTAGAGGACAGCAGCTTTCCGATTTGTTGTTTAATGTCAACAATAGCTCAGGGACCGATGCCTGAGGTGCTAATAATCAATTAATAAATAATTATCATTTAATTAATAATTAACCCTCTGGGATTATTAAAGTATTTCTGATTCTGATAAGATGTTTGTATGCAATGTTTAGGGTCACTTTAGGTGTGTAGCGTTTCAATATGAACTCATCAATGTTTAGAAAAGAGGCAACACCTTCAGGTTTTTCTCATTGAGGTGGGTTCCTCTGCTCAACTTTCAGCTAACCATGGCTCAGGATCATAGTTGAACATTTGAAATCTTAAAGGTTTTATTACACAAAGAAGCAGTTTTCCATTCAGTTGCTCTGAATACACAGTTTACACATATGCTAGTATGACCTCAAAGAGAACAACATTGAGTACCTCATGTGCTGTAAAGAAATAGATTAAGCTCTTTAGGCCTTTCGTGGGTTGATCATTACTTTCCACGGCTAATAGAAAAATAGCAAATGGCTTCACTTCGGGTTTTAACTTTTTTCTTTGTGTAAACACGTTATGACAGCGGTTATCAAAGTTTACAGTTAACTGAAGCAGATCGTTTAAATAGCTTTTAAATGTGGGGAAAAACATACATGTACGTGGACATTTATCTGATAAATTTGATTTATTTAAGAAGAGGTGTCAGACCCAAGCTGGGAGGTTAAGGTGTCACTTATGATTTACGTCAATTGAAAGATCCCTAGAGGGGACGTTTTCTTCTGCTGCACAACTCCAAACAGGTCACAAGAGGGAGCACTTCAAGTGTCAAATGCCCAATTTAACACCAGTCAAATCAGAGGAGACATGATGCAGTGTTGGGGAGTAACGGATTACATGTAACGACGTTACATAATTTAATTACAAAAAAAGAGTAACTGTAATTCGTCACAGTTACAATGAGAAAATATGTAATTCAGTTACAGTTACTTCCGAAAATATTAAGAATTACAAATTTAGTTACTTTTTTAAAAAATATAAAGAAAACCCTTTGCAAAATATGCAGCTCACTGATAGACGAAGCGTATTGATTTACTAATATTTGACTGTTTGGTGTTGATGCATGACAAACGTTTATCGATGTCTATGACCTAGCCTAGCCTAGCCTACCTAGCCTACCCAACTGTAGGGTGACCAGACGTCCTCTTTTTCCTGGACATGTCCTACATTTATTTACGTTGTTTATGATCATTAACAACACGTTAGCCTTGAACTGCTAGCTGCGGCCAATAGCTAATAATAACATGCTAAACTTAATCAAGGGTCAATACTCATTAAAACCTTAGAGTAATCAAAAAGTAATCAAAAGTAATTAGTTACATTACTTTTTAAAAGTAATCGAAAAAGTTACATTACAATTACATTTTAAACAAGGTAACTTGTAACTGTAACGGATTACATTTTTAAAGTAACTTATCCAACACTGGACATGATGCAGTGTTTTTTATATGCTGTGTATTAGTAATATCCACTCTGAAAAAGTGTACAGATGGAGAAATTTTAAACCGTATGTCATTTTTCTCTTACATTCTGCAGCCATAGGATTTCTAAACGCTGTAGCATAATCCCCTGACAGAAAATGTAGCTATAGATAAAACCATAGCTCTGTGTTTTGTTCATTGATGTAAGGAAAATGTTTTTTTCTTCAGAAGGATGATTTGAAAGGTCAAAAATGTAACTTCACAAGAGTTTTTGTTGTCATTTTAGAAATTCCAGATGCAGAGAATGGAGACCAGAGAAGAGAAGAGTGCCTCTGCTCAGTCCACTCCATCCAGCACCCCCCACAGCTCGCCCAAGCAGCCCCGCAGGTGTGTGTCTGACTGCTCTGTTATCGGGTCACACTCCTGTATTTTCAGCCCTGTATTTTTGGCCTAAAGACGGGCTAAAAACTGCAACCTTTCGGTCCGTTTGCTCAGGGGCTGGTTCGGCAGCACCAGCTCAGAGGCCAGCGTCAGCTCCGGCCACAGCAGCGTGGACATGGGGCCAGCAGACCCCCCCGCTGCAGGGGGGGGGGCCGTGGAGCGGTGGGGCATCTTTGGCCCGCGGCCACTCGTCCAGAATTCCGTCTCTGACCTAGGATCCGACAGCACAGCAGCAGGTGAAAGCTTCTCCTCAGCAAAAGACACAAATGTCCATTAGTTAGCGATTTACGAAAGATTCCTTAAATAAATTTCAGTATTTAGGATTTTTTCAGCTTACAGCATCGAAATAAATACAGATGGAAAGCACAAACTCAATATTTAACACCCTCATTCAGGACTTTGGTTAAAGGATGAATGAATAACTTTCAGACTGTCTGTTTGTGATGCAGAATTTCTCCTTAGAAGGGTTTCTATTTCCTTTGTAGATTATTACATATGTAGATTATTACACATGGGATGGCTGTGTGTGATTTGGATACCTAAATTCTGTTTTCCAGGACAACTTTAGTGTAGAATTGAGTGGGGATAATTATTTTTAAAGTGGATATCAGTATTTGTAGCTTAGGTTGTTGCATCAAAATGACAGTATTGCTGTTTACATCCATAAAATCTAGCAGATTAAATAAACCCATTGAATTTGATATGCTTTAGTCTTATCCATTAGATTTGAGGAATATAAGAGGATAATTACTTATCAATTTAAACTTTCCATTCGGGTCCTTTGTGCAAAAGAATATATACCCAAAAAATAAAAAGGAATTAAAACACGGAGGGTAAGATAAAGAACTGAAAGGGAGAAAAAAGGTAATCGAATTAATAAAATAATTTTCCATTCATCTTCATTCACTGTTTGTACACAACATACAATGTCAACTAAATAGTTGTATCCTATTTGTCAGTACATGAGTAACATTACCTGCGTGCTAATATTTGCCAATATTATTATTACACATGATATGTGATGTCTTTACCTTTTATGTTTAAATTTGAGGATCACAATGCATCTATTTTGAAAAGCCTCACAAGGTTTCCCTTTTTCCTCTCTCTCTCTCCATCCTCCCAGCAGGCTTTGCAGTCCAGGCCTACCGTGGAGCCCAGAAGCCCACCCCGATGGAGGTGATGAAGTCCCAGGCCACGCGGGCGGTGGACAACTCTCAGCTGGCCTCGCTGCCCAAGATGGAGATCCCCAGCGTGGAGGGTCAGCGGCCGGGGGCCCGGCCACACAAGCTCAAACACAGAGACATGAACATCCTCACACCCTCCGGCTTCTGAGAGGACAACCCCCCCTCTGACAACAGCCTGTAGATACCGAAGGTCCCGTGGAGTGAAAACCTCCCATAACCCACCTGCATCCCGTCCTGTTGTCCTACCACCAAAACTAGTCCGCCTTTTTTGCTTTGACATTAATCAGCTAACGTCAGTATGATTTACTGAAACCATTTCAAGCATGCATGAAAGAACAAAAAAAGCATTTCAAGTTAGAATCATTTCAGAGGATTACCTTTGAATTTTGTATCTCAGCCTGCTGTCAACATCATCTGCCACATTTGAATCACAGACAGGAGATAATTCCTCCTGTCAAGCATCAGACATTATTTTCTGACCAATGCACTAAAGTTTTGATCACTTAATCTCACTGACGATGAGGGTGATATTCTAGTTGTGCTGGAAGCTGACAGGCATGGCTCCTGTTCACTGACTGGCTTCATTTCTAAGTTTGGTTTTCCTCGTTTTCAAAATGTATTTATTTTGCCTCCAAATAAGCTGGACCACCTTATCGGTTTGCTCTTACCCATCTGGACTTTGTGTGTTGGTGTCAGTGTGTTGCCAGAACACCATCAGCAACCAAAACCACAAAAAGTTGAACCGTCTAGGATTTTGGGGTTAAGTCATGCTGTCAGGATTTCCACTAGTTCTGCAGCAGTTCCACCAACTCAGCATTTATTTCACTAAATGAAAAGTAAATAAGAGTCAATTTTTGCTGGCTTGTGTCATATGGTCAGACTGTCAACAATCAGCTCATGAGTCTTTATAGTCTATGTTCAACTGATGAGACGAAGGCACATTGAAATCCCAGAGATCCCACTTTTCCCCCCATTACATTCCCTTAATATTGTGCTCCCTTCAAGATGCATATTAACCTGAGGTTTTCACGAAGCAGGATGGGAGGAATTAATTTAACTAATTTGTGTAAGTGTATGTTGGCAATAATGAAACAATCAGAAAAAAACCATGTTCCATTACATTCCATTTGGTTATGAAAAGATCAAAATATCTCCATTGTCTGTATGTGCATTTCTGATCTTAAAGTAGCCATTCCACTTAGTCTGTCATCCACAGTGTTTTGGTTTTCCCGAAAAAGGAAAGTGACCAAAATGGAAGTAAAGAAAGCAAAATCATTCAATAGATAATGTCTGTTAACTTTCTCTTAATAGATTACTAATATGAAGGATTTCTATCGCTCCAGTTAAGCGCAAAGTACTCTTCTCCTTTTCCATTTCTGGTTAATACCAGCCGAGAAGAGCTAACCCTAACCCTAGCCTTATGATGTCAGGATCCAGGATTCCCCTTTTTAGGTCCTTTCATTTCTACCTTTGTTGGAAATGTTTCCTCCTAAAGTTCTGCTGTGATTTTTTTTAGTATGATGTATAAAGCAACCCTAAAGCTGGTTACTGAGGAAAGTGCACTCCTGTCACCAAATGTAGAGTTTAGACGTGGCTGTTTTCGCTGTTTAGTGTTCGTGTGCACGGGTTTATGTGTTCAGGGTCACGCCGTCTCCTGTGGGCTGTGCTCCATGAGAGCGTTAAAGTCAGTTCTGTGTGGTCTTTTGTATGTGAAAGAATGAAAATGTTCCAAGTTGTTTTTGTTTTTTATCATTGATTTACTGTCCTTATTGTTTATTGTGAGCACACTTTGGAGAATAAATGTTTAATTCTCAACAAAAAAAGAAGTTGGTCTGGAGTTGTGAATAAGAAAAGCTTTAGTGAAGAACAAGGTGGTTTCACAGTGGATCATTTGTCTCTTTAAGCCTGACGCTTACAACATTTGTCCTTACATGCAGATTTATTCATGGGAATTAATGATAAAACTGGGTACATTCAGTCTTGTTATTATGACATTGCAACAAACCCGATCATGCAGAATAAACTTAGTTTCCCCCAATAATTTCAATTTAATTTCTGCTCAACAAGTCAAAACAAGGTATTTAGTCTAAGTGGTCTTTTTAAAAGAAAAAAATTGTATTGCAAATTATCTAGTTAAGTAAATCACATTACATAAAAACGATCAACGTATTATAAGCCCTGTCATACACACAGGAGAATTATGGGTTTTTAGAATAAGTTAATCTTACACAGATGAGTCACATCCTCATTTGTTCATGTTCTCAGTCTGGGAAATGCTAAATGAACATATAATGGATTATAAGTATATAAAGGTTTGTCTTTATTTTAATGACTTTTTACAAATAAAGAATATTATTTTATTTTTTTAGGAAAAATCATCTGCATTCCAAATATATAAAAAAAGGGCTTGCCCTGGTTTTAAACTGTTCCTGACTCAATTACAGGAACATTTTTCTTTCAGCACTAACAGCATAAAACACTTTTTGATTAATCTTTAAGACGACTCTGCCCAGTTTTAAGGTCAAGACGGTAACGATTGGGTTGAGAAGAATAAGCAAAACAGCTTTTATAGATTTTTTTTTTTTAAAGCAGACTGCTGCGCTGGTCGTTTTAGATCTGTACTGAAAGAGGACTGAGCTATAACTCTGGCCTCAGAAAAACTGGCTCCACTTCTTCCCACTTGGCATGATCCACTAACATTTGTCTGAAAACACAACAGCCTCCAGTCTGGTTTCTGATTTGTTAAAGTACAATCCCGTCAAATGTTTCTTACAATTCCGATAAACAGTCCACACGACAGGAAATCCAAATATTAAAGTTTTCCAAAACAAATATGTGTTCCAACCCACCCGTAGGAAAGATTTTGATTGATTTGAAATGACATACGATTGTTTTCACTCATTTATTTTAGACACTGTTCAGTTTCTGAACAATCGTGCCTGTAAGTTTGAGAGAAATATCCATTTTTTTTGCTTTCCTCGGTTAATTTGCGGAACTCATATGCTGCCTCTCCCTTTCCTCCCCTGGTCCTCCTCTCTTCTCCTGATCTGCCCGTACATTCTGAAGAAGCTCTCCATCTCCCGCTGCAGGGCGGAGTTCCGCTGGTCGGCGTCGGCTTTGACTTTCTCCATGTTGCGGATCTTCGTCTCGGTGACGTTCTGACTCCGCCTCTGCTGCTCCAGGCTGAGTCGTAGGACCGCCACCTGCCTCTCCAGGAGGTCGTTGCAGCGCTCCAGCCTGTGGCACACACACACACACACACACACACACACCACACATCAGTGGTGGGCCGTCAGGGCCTGCAAGGCCTTCTCTGCAGGCCTAAGAAAATATCTGAATCACAGACTGATAATCATATTTTGTCCTTGGAAACGTATTAAATATCTCTAAATAGTCTGCCCGATTCCTTTTATAGCTTTTCCCCTGGTTGCGCCGCTTCCAGACATGCATTTTCATGTAAAAGCATTTAACCAATCACATTTCAGCTATCATTTGTCGCTAGGCAGGGTCAAAGTCAAAGATGTCTGCCAGGAGGCCTTCACAATCCGGTCCGCAGACCCCACCCCCAACAGAAAATACATGTCGAGTACCTACGCTGTTGCTTTAACCAATCAGATTTTAAGTTGGTAACACCAGGGCCTTCTCGAAGGCCTCACGTAACGTCACCGTATTGAGGCCCGCTGATTGGATAGTCAGATATCCAATCAGGGCAAAGCTAGCAAACAAACCGAAATATAGTTGTGTTGGTGTAATGGCTATTTTATGATTTGGTGGCGGATTTACTGTCAGGGCCATTTTCAAAAAGGACTTTTCAAGAAAAGTAAGTGAGTAAAATGTTGTTTTTTTCCTAAATAATATTGCGATTTTTTTTTGGGGGGGGGGTGTAGCTGCAGGAGTAAAAGACTTGTGCACCCCTGATCTTTATACTGTATTTTAGGCTGGTCCCGATCCGATATTTGGATCGTATCGGCCAGCATTAGACAATGCCGATCCAGACTCCAGATCCATTTAAAGTCCGAGCATTAGCATTAGCATTAGCATCTGCTAACCCACAGGTCTGTGTCCTAAACTTTAAGTTGTTACAAGAGTAAGTCCCTGTTCAACACGAGTCTGACAACTAAATAAGTAGATAAATAACTGTCAACTTTAATATAAAAAGCTGGATCGGGACATCCCTATTGTATTTCTACATGATAAGATGATTTCTATAACCATAAAATAGTTATTGAAGGGTGAATTGATTCAGACAGAGCACTACTGAAGGCCTAGGTGTGAAATGCACGGTCTGCCACTGATTCCACACACACAAGCCTTTACACACCGTATTCATGAGCTGACCAGTGGCAGCTGATGGATAAAGGTAGCTCTGATGTTTGTTTTAAAGGGGAATGGAGGTGGGTACCTGCTCGTCTCTCACCTCTCTATCTTGCTCTGGTATTCCGTCCTCTGTTGGGTCATTTGCTGCCGCAGCTCGGCGATCAGCAAGCCAGCGTCCTTCGGCTCGGTTTGAGTGTCCGACCCCTGGGGGTCTGGAGGACCGGAGGGAAGGAAGACCTCGGAGCTGCCGGTGCTCAGGGTGCTGTCACTGACCACAGAGCAGGACGCCGGGGAGTTCTGATGAGTCACGCGGTCCTGGCCGTCGTCTTTGCTTTCTCCCTCGTGAACGACCCTTTTCTGCGCTGTCTTCGGTAAGATGTCCAGTTCAGTGACCAGGGAATCCTGGTCAATCTCGTCCAGTGGCAGAACCTCGCAGGATGACCATGAGGAGGAGGAACGTCTTGTCGGCCCTACATCCGCTTGCACCACCTCCACTTCAGAAGACGCCATCAGGCCTTCCTGAGGGTTTGATCCAGAATCTTGACCAGACGCATTCTTAGCTTTCTTCCTCTTCTGATGAGGAGTTGCTCCTTTAAGATTGTCGTAAGCAGAGAGGGTGCTGTCCTCCTGAGTCCCGCTGCTGCCCGCGCTGACCGTCCTCTGGACGGCGTTCTGTTCGTCCGCACCACCCCAGAAACAGGAGGCCTCCTCGTTCTGGACAGGCCAAACTTTTGACCACCCTGAAAGCGTGGGCGACGTTGACTCGTCCGGCCGTTGGTTGCGTGGCTGGACGCTGACTCCGGACGCCGGAGCATCTGCCGGACACTCGCCGCAGGCCGCAGGACGCTGGTAGCACTCCACGTCCAGCCGGTCAGAGTGGTGGCGGGCGGTCCGGCTGGACGATGGCGAGGGGAAGAGGCAGTTCTCCGGGTGGGAGGAGGTGTAGCGGTGGCCAAAATGCCTCTTCTGGCTGTACGACAAATTTGACTGGACAACAGAGAGGATGGAGCTAAAGGAAGCACAGAGATGAATGTTAGATTTAAAAGGTAAATCAACGATATTGGGGGATGACATGTAAAATGATGCTGCTAAGTTTTCCAGAGATGGACGGTGACAGTACTCTACAAAGCTGGTGAAGAGCAACTGTATTCTAAAATCAGTTGGAGTCATAAAGTAGATTCTATGTAATAAGGTCAATGCATGTAAGAGAATAACTGTCTTCTTACAAACAAACAAAGAGGTACCCCATAAGTCTTTTTTCTGAGCCATGCCGTTTTTCCAGGTGCACCTACATGTTTGGCTAACAATAAATAAAACCAGAGGTATAACACTAGAGTTGCTCTGTTTTTTAATTTTTTCAAGTTCTTTATTATACTCATTAGGGTTTGAGTTTAATTTTTTTCTAAATTAAATTATACTACTTTTGTGACTTCTAAGTTTCTATTGGACCTTCAAAGCTGCCTTGCTTAACCCTTTTCATGCATGAGTTATGATGGTTTCAGGATTGTCAGTCAGCCTTTTTTATTTTCTTAAGCCATGAAAAAGGAAGAACTTTTTTGTCAAAAATGTGTTTATTAAGGATTTTTCCAGATGTCCACTCAAGTGGACCCCATATGTTTTAAAATTCCTCACTAATGAAAAACTGACATTTACCAGAGTCCATAAACATAGACCTCTTCCTTAAACTCTCATTCAATTCTAATATTCAGTATTATGATGGGCCACTTGGCTTTTGTCCATTTAAAACATAAAAATCTTTATATACACATGAAATAAGGCTTTTAAATGGCTGTCAGCTGTAGTGACGCTTTGCATGAAAGAGTTTAAAACAGCTGAGATACTCATGGTTCAGAAAATTCAGATTTTTGTCATGAGACTCCAGAATACATCGAACTCTAACTCGATAGAGGAGATGTTGTGAGGTGAGAGGTGATTGAAGGTGAAGCGGGAGTGTTTTACCTGTCGTCCTCATTCGTTTGTGGCTCCTTAGAGCCGTCTGAAATGATCGGCAAAGACAACTGGCGAGGGCAAGAAGATGGCTGGAGACGAGGCCATTGCAGAGGGCTAGAAGATGCATTTAAACCTCCCAGTGGATGGTCAAAAATGGCTGGAGAGACTTTTGCAAAAAGAGACTCATGTTCTCTTATCAGCTCTAACATAAGCACCTGGACCAGTGCTGCACCTAGCACAGATAGCATGACAAACACTATTTACAAACACTTATTACTGAATAAAAACTGACTTAATGCATTTTTCAAAATATGATGATGAAATATACGATTATTATTTGAATAAGTCCATATTAAATCAAAGTTCCTAAATATTCCTTTGCCGCATTTGATTTTGTACAATTTTAGAATAGCTTAAAGAATACTTTCAAATCTTAACGTTAGCCATATTACCTCCCACGATGCTTTGCGGGTCCTCAGCTTTAGCTCGAAGGATGTTCGGCCCAAACACAGTGGCCAAGTTCTGGACACTCATCCTGTTAGTGTTGGAGTAACTCTGGACCTCATTCAGAAACCTACATACACAAACGCACACACAAACAAACACACACACACACACATTTTCATAGATCATAAGAACATATTTAAAGAGAGCCCAGTTTATTCTTTTAAAAAATGTTCCTATTTAAGCAGTTTGACCAAACAATAGTAATAATTTGCAGAGGTCTTACTGGCAGATAAATTTGAGCAGATTAAAATTAGCTACTGGCAGCTCTTGAAGAAGATTCCTGAGCTCCCCAAGACCCTGAGAGAGGAAGAGATATGAAACATCTTGGAGGGGGGGAGAAGGGGACATTATTCTTCTTCCTTTGCTGGTGTTTCATGTTTAACACAGACAGATCAAGCAGCTTTTTAGGAGATTTATTTCTTTGAAGAAGGGATTTTCAAAGCTCCACTTGCCAGCGTACGGTCACTTGACAGCTTCCTTCCACAGAGTAGAAAGTCCTGATAGCTGCTGTAAGGGACCAGAGGCTCTGGGAGTTGTCTGAGGTAGAGCTTCAGTAGTGATGCCACTGTGTGAACGTCTGTACTGCTATCATAAAATACACAGCAATCAATATTGTGGAAGAAAATGTCCCATAAAAACCGTAATAGTTTAAAAAAAAAGTGATTGTACCCGTCAAAGGTTGGTCTCTCCCCAGAATCAAAAGCCTCTTGCAGTTCTTTGACCAAACTGGTTCGTCCAGGCTGGCGAAACAAGCCCACCTCACTCAGACCACGTTCCCGAATGAAAGTCACACACTGCTCCACCACCAAGGGAACCAAACATAGTCCGTAACGCCGCTCATACAGAACTGTTTCCTCCAACCGCTGGCCAAAAACACCTGCAAATGAGGGAAGATTTGAACAACAGCAGCATCTCTTTGCACTAAAGGACTTCAAACATTACTTCACACACTTCCTGTTGGTAGCTGCAGGAAGGAAGCAGTCCATGAAAACGTACTGTTCCAGAACACTAAAACCTCATAAATCAATAACACAAGATGTATATGATGGAGTCAATTAATTTTTACTCTAGTTGGCTTGATTTGGATTATTGTACCTACAGATATAAATTGTTATGATCAGGCACTATATGCGTAAAACTTGATTTAGTTCAGATATGCAGTATGCAGTGACTTTTTCTGTGTTTGTGTTTGCACCTGTAAAAGGGATCCAGACTCCTTTGTTGAGGCTCTTCAACCACTCATCGCCCTGACCAGCACTATTGGATAGGAAGAAATAGGAACCTGGACTGGCCAGTACATCTCTATTGCCTGAAGACCCAAACAGAGGATATTTTTAGGACACATGCTCAGGACAAATAACTTGTCAGGATGCACTTAAATGATCACAGAATTAATTAAGTCCTCCAAACAATGTGTACTTGCCTGCTGAGAAAAGTTAATATACATACAATGAAAATGCGTACAATTTGCTTTTTAAGTATACACGCACACACACTCATATATATAATTATTTTTTTCTTTCTTTTTTTCATAACCGCTTATTCACTAAAGGAGTCACGGGGGGACTGGAGCCTATCCCAATAGTCAATGGGCGAGAGGTGGGGTGACCCTGGACCGTCCACCAGTCCATCGCAGGGCCACACACAAGACATACAAGGACACACAACCACGCACACACACACTCACTCCTAAGGGGAGTTTGGAGTGTCCAATCAACCTAACATGCAGGTTTTTGGACGGTGGGAGGAAGCCGGAGAACCCGGAGAGAACCCACAGACACAGGAGAACATGCAGACTCCACCCAGAAAGGTCCTGGTTCCCCCTGGACTCCAACCCAGAACCCTCTGGTCCTGGTTGCCCCGGGACTCCAACCCAGAACCCTCTGGTCCTGGTTCCCCCGGGACTCCAACCCAGAACCCTCTGGCAGAAAGGTCCTGGTTCCCCCGGCACTCAAAAATATATAAATGGCTAGAATTGGAGCAATACTGGACGGGCATATGGAAGGAGGATGCAACACATCATAACAATGCTCAAAGGCCAATGGATCCAGGAACAGACCACAGCTAACTACATAGCAATGACCTGTCTCAGCATGATGTAAAAGCGCCTGTCTAATCATTGCCATTAAGATTAACTCGCTCATGGCAGCAACACCAGAGGGGCAAAAGACTAGGTCCTGGTAGATAACTGTTAAACCTGTGCTCTGCCTGGATTGACTAGAGAAAAGCCTAGGATTCAATGCCCCAAACATTGATCCTAGAATTCCTAAAACTGTACAAGGTCGACAAGACCCTAAGAACCTTCAATAGGAACTCGATGGCAATGTGGCGAACAACACTAGAGACCAACGTCAAGCAAATTGCGCAAGTCACCATCAGGAGCAGAATCTACCTAGCTGCTATTCTGCTTAGGCCTGAATGCCCTCAGCCAGATCATTACCAAGACTGGCTACGGATACCGACTGTGGAACGGAGCAAACAACAGCCACCTCCTGTACATGGATAACATCAAGCTGTATTCCAGGAGTGAACGAGATATCGATTCACTGATCCACACCACTAGGATCACCACTAGGATACAGCAACAACATCAGAATGCCATTCGGACTAGAATAGTGTAGTCGGATGATAAGACAGGGAGGAAAGGTCGTCAGAATTTAGGGGATTGCACTACCAGAAAGCAACATTGCAGACATCGAGGATAGCTACAAGTACCTTGAATGGAAACTACAAAGAGGCCCATGATGACTATGCATCACAGGCGTTTGTGTGTTGGGTAACAACACGACATGGTCTGTAAGTTAAAAAATATATATTTTCGTAAAGTTGTACACTGTGTAGAGTTTGATTTCTAATCCAAATAAAGGAAATGTTCAACCATGTTCAAGGTCAGTGAAAAGATGCCACTGAGACAATCCAGCACATAACAGCTGGGTGCTAGCAAGCAGAGCATACATAGAACGCAATAACCAAGCAGCCAGCATGGTATACAGGAACATCTGTGCTGAGTAGGGCATGGAATACCCAAGGACAATGGGGTTGTTGAGAATGAGCAGGCTAAGACTTCCAGATACAGACAGAAAAGCTGGTTACGGTAACCATTCGGGCGGTAGATTTAGACAAGCAGAGGGAGAAGGCCGTAGTGATAGATGCCCGAAAGACAGACAGACACACTGACCGACTGACCGGGCTGAGAGAGGAACTACAGAGGATATGGAGGGTGAAGGTGACAGTGGTTCCTGTAGCAAATGGAAGACGGGACAGTCACCCCCAAACTAGGGGAGTGGATCCAACAGATCCCAGTAACAACAGATCTCTGCCCAGAAAAGCACAGTCCTTGGAAAAGTCCTCTGGCACTGGACCTGAGCTTGAAGGATAGTGACTGACCTGGAGGGAAGGTGGGGGATTTTATGTTATATATATTCAGATATATACTTAGAAGTATGTATTTTCGACATCCCGTTAAGTATCGGACAACTTTTACAGCTTTCACATATACACACACCATACAAGCAGTTTGCATTCATTCTCCTACTTTGCTATTTTACACAGCAACCTCTCTATCCCCATGTCCCATGATGCTCCACCTTTTTTTTTTGTTGAATAAAGAACGTTGTGACTCAGCATTAAAAAGTCACCCCTCAAAGACAGCATGCAAAAGCACACAAAGGAGGGGTTCAGGAATAATTATAATCTCAGACGACAATGGCTCGTTCATTAAATGCTTGTGTCTTACCTTTTTTGTGACCTCTACTGTCAAGTTTCCAGGACTTGAAGCAACTGAGTCCCATGCTGCAGTATTCCCGGTCTGGCTGAGGATGCTGGGTGGGTATTTCACCACGGGGGATGAATAGAGAACCTTTGGTGGACGAGTTTGCAAAAATGTCTTCAGAACAACAACAGAAAAAGGCCAAAAAAATGTTCTGGAAGAAAATCTTGATGTGGGGCCGGTCTCAAATAAATAAAAAAAACAGCTAAATAATAAAAACATGGACACTGAAAAAGATTAATTGATAATAAACTCTAAGAGAGATCTAAAAAGGGCCTGTGTAAGTTCATGAAGATATTGATAATTTAACATACTATTATACTATTATTGTATCATTGTTATTAGAAATATACATGTTTAATGATCCATATTGAAACATTATAAATGAACGAACGAATAATGAATGAATGAATGAATGAATGAATGAATGTCAAAAAGTAGTGCTAAAGAAGCTATAGAAGTTGGAGAAGATTTTCTCAACCAGAATTCTAGTTGGGGAAAAAATGGAATGAATGGAGGAAAGAAAACCCAAATGTGAATTCCAGAAGAGATCTTGTGGATCTTTTTCTGGTCAGTATGCAAAGTTGATCAATAGAATGGCCACTTGAGGAGAGGTATATCTGGTTTACTGACAAAGAGACAGTGTTTGTTTTTTTTAAAGAGCCTTGCAAAGAATTTCCTTGCTGTTGCAAGTTTTTTCTAAAATCTAACTTTAAAGAAAGTTACTGAGACCCAAAAAACTTTGAAACAACATTGCACCTTAATGTGCTTGGGATGATGAATTCCCAAATGGTATAAGAATTCAAATGAAAGCCCACTGCAAATTGAATTGAGGTTAATTATCAAGAAGAGACATAAACTAACCACTTGAAGAAGAAGGTGGGAAACATTACGCCTTCATGAAGGAGAAGTAAATCTTAGCAAGCAAAGGAAATGTTTCAAGCTGCTCGAAGGCTCTTATCAACCTTTATATCAAATTTCAAATCCTTAATCCATCCCCAGACCCCACTCAGTGACCCGATCTTCACCCTTTTGATGCTTGAAAGTGAACGGCCGCTGCAGAGCCTGGAGGTTTTCATATCAAGCTGCTGTCAGGTTCCCAAATTGTCTCCAGTCCAAGGACTCGAGTTCAAACTTTGCTTTTTCATTTTGGAGTACGCTATGTTAACTGTCTCAGTGTCTCACCTCTGAATCTCTCCTTGTAGTTTATACCAGCCAATAAATTGTAAAGCCATCTTCAAGGGTTACGTCTTTTTCCCCATCGTCCTTTTTGTTCCTCCAACGGAATCAAACTACCAACACCACGTCAAAAATTCCTTCTCGTGTCCTCCCTCTTCCCTTGTCTTCATCCATATGTCCTTTGCTTTCTCAGCTCTATAACTGGACGTCCTGCACCATTTTGGAAGCACAGTCTGCTGAATTGAATGTCCTGTTCTTAAACATTCCGACCCATCGCTGTCCTTTTTCCTGTCATCCTACTCCTTCCCTGTACGTCTGTCTCTCCCGGTGTTCCTTTCTTTGTCCATGCCTGGCTTGTCCTTCTGTCTCATTCCCACTATCGCCTCTCTCTCCTGCTCTAATTCAATTTACCAGCAGTGTGTTTGCCCCCAGTAGTTCCCTTTCACGTTCATCATCAATAACCCTGCTGTAACGATGTGTGTGTATGTGTGTGTGTGTGTGGGAAGGGCTGTGCATTAGGAAAATTGGTTTTACCAAAGTAATCACAACTGATGGGGAGCGAGGAAGAGAGATGATCTGGCTCAAATTCTGCTGCCCCTGAAGTATAGGCTGCTGCCGCACACACACAAGCGCGCATGTATACAACCCAACGCACACACGGCCACTCACTGTCGCCATTACTCAAGCGGACATAAAAGCAAGAGAGGGTGGTTGGACTGGTCAACTTTTGAACTCAATTAAAATATGAGAAACTTCTTTGCCACAATACAGCCCCAGTCGATAATTCTCATTGGCCCAGAGTACAATGCAGCGCACAGTACAAAGCTCGTGGATAATCGATACCCGTTTTCCTGCCAATAGGTGTTATATATGTCAAAAGTCTGCAGACATGAACCCCTTTAGATACATGCATTCACTGAATCCTGAGAAAGTAGCTGAATGCCCATTGCATGGGCACACTAGAATGGACTCTAGTGAGATGTCTCTGAGAAAGAGCACTGCACTTTGTTTAAATTAAGTGATTTAGGGTAAGACATTAGTCAGTTTACAAGCCAGTGACCAAGATAAACAGGCTTTTTTACACCACTGACATTTATATATTCTGATGGGAAAATTTTGACCTGATTAAATGCCCAGTTTGCTGGTAATTTCCCTCCGTTTATTTTCAGGTTTCTGAGGAATGAAGTATTTTGTCGTCTGGATCCGGTTGTCCAGCGATATTTAGGCCCAGCTCAGTTTCAGAACCAACACTTAAGTCTAGCTGAAGGACTGAAAGGTACACTGACCCCTCCGTGCAGTGTTCGATGTTTTGGGTTCTGGTGATTTTAGTTCGGCGTTCCTGTGCTTTTATTTTGGTGTCGGTCTTGTCTTCCTGTTTCCCCCTGTGCCTCTCAGTCACTTCCCCTCCCGCAGGTCCCTCCTTTTTTCCAGTTATCACTCAACCACGCACCTGTGTTTCTCACACATCTGCCTTCATTTCTCTGATCAGACACTTCTCTAGAAAAGCTTCTCAGTCGTGTCTCTCTTTGCCGGATCATCATCAGAACCTTAGTCATACCTTATTCTAGTCTCCATGAATCTTTCTCCCAGTCTGTTTCTTGGTTTTGCTACTTTTAGGGGTTCATTTGGTATTTCCTCTTTTAATTGTGTTTTTTTTCTACCCAGGTTCTGCTGCGCCTTTTTGTTGTTTTTCTGAATAAATTAGTTTTCTTGGTTCCCCCCTGGATTTTCCTCACTGGGTCTTGCATTTGCACCTGTTCCCTTTATCCTCGCCCATCCCTGTGAGTAGTACCACACTGGGGGTTATAACTCTATCTAAGTGTTTCGAACCTGTGGGTGCAAAAAAGCAAACATGAGCTGACACCTGGACTCCAACCTTCCAGTGTTCCGACAGAGCTACCCTCCTCTCCTGACCCCTCCTGCCACTGGCCTCTGGTGGGGAGTTCCTCCGTCTCCAGTGTTCCCGTCCATGCCAAAGGGGGAGTCCAGCAGAAAAGTTTAAAATGAACATCAGTTCTCAGGTCAACCTCTTTGACAACGTGATCCCTTTCTGGCTTGTGCAAGAACGCTGAAAGGTGTGGAATGGGCTGCATTTGGTATTATGGTATGATGGGAAGTGTTCATGGTAAGTGGTCATTCCACCATCTAAAATGTGACCTGAACCATAACTCTAAACAAGCTCATGTAGATTGTTAAATTTTTTGTATTTGAAAATGAATTCAACAAAAAACCCAGTTATATTTTGAAGACTCAACATATTTCTTTACATGGGACACATGATAGTTGTCTTTTTCACCTTCCACAGTGTGTTTCTTCAATGAGCCTATCAATGTCCTCAGTCAAAGATTTTACTGGATTTTAACCATGTCAAAGTATTTCCCGCCTTGTCTCTAACAAGCAGCCAAAGGTGTCTGTTATCATTCACAACCCAATTCATTTGAATTCTTCACTGTGTGTGCAGGGCGTTCTCTGCTCGACTGAAATCTAATCTCTGCTGGGATACCTTCACATCTGTCGATACATATGGCAATGGACAGCGTGCTCTGCATTTCAAAGTGCCGAGCATGAATAAATCATATTTGTCACCTGCTCTTCCCCTCTCTTTTACTGTACGTCTGCTATAAATCAAACGTGTGGAAGTATTTCTAACACAGGGTACATCGTCTTTGGTCGCTGTATGGAAAATGATCCCCACTGTTTGAACATTCTAGAATAGACCAACAGTAGAGCCACCATGTGTGAAAGATGACATGTACAATTTGAGGAGTTTAAATTTTGTTGCTTATTTCAGATGATTGATATGCTACAGAGTAGGAAAAATTCATTTAAAAGATTATCTCAAAAATAAGAACAATCAATACTATTCTATTCTTCTCGGATATACTGGATGTACTTAAATGCGATTATGAAATGTGAAAGACAAATAACTTTTCCAAATTAAGAGTAGGACACTTCAATTTTCCATATTCATCAAATAAGAAAATGACCTATTTCAGTTTGGTGATGACAAAATACTCATTCATTCATCATTTGACAATGAGAGTGAACATTTCTTCTTAAAAACGGAAGGGTCTTTGTTGTGGAATATTTAATTTTAAACAAGAGTTTTAGTCCATCTGAGGAAATAAGAGGTAAAAATGTATTAGAAAGGAAAATTTCATGAAGTGGGAGCCACCAGCATGATCGTCCAAGTTGTTCGTTGGACATACCGAGCTGCTCCGAAGGGAAAAGCAGTGATACATTTTATAAACCTCCCCGAGCAGGGAGCAAAGGGAGGTGTTAAACCTCTGACCCACACACCTGCCTAAGAAGATCTGTCTCCCATAATTCAGCAACCAACACATTTACGAAGGCCGTCTTCCCAGTATAACCAAACGTCCCAGAGAGAACTTCCTCTTTCTCAGAATATAATAGTTGAAGTAAATTCCCAGAGAACTAAAGAGAAACTTCCTTCTCATGATGGAATCACATGAGAAAAATTCCCAGAGAACTGAACAAATTGGTAATAAATATGTTGTTTTCAACCACAGTCTTCCATAAGACCACCTTAAAATGAAACCGGCCCGGTCTTTAATATTAACATGCAACCAACCATACCAGAACAGCAAGTCTCGCAATGGTCAACACTATCTGGACAGATTTTTCTGACTTGACACTAGGCTGGGGAAAATTCAACGAAACACAAGACTATGTTTGTAGGCTCATAACAGTTTTAACTACCTTACATTATGATAATAGTTTACATTGTTTACTATGATTTGCCATGTGCAACCTTTACAAGTCAAGAAAAGAAGACTGGCATCAACATCTAAAACTTCACGTTGAAAATACACCCTGTGTTACATAAAAGTTGTAAAACACAGTGACGTAGCATGAAACCGGAGTTGCAGGGAACAGTAGGAGCCCGACACTTATGATGGATGAGCAAATAAACTGTGGCATTGATATCAAACCCTGGTGTCCCTGCATTAACTCAGAGTTCCACAACAGATCTGGTGTGAGGA